CTCTCCTCTCCTCTCTTCTTTCTCATGTTCTCCCTTTATTTTCTTCCTCTTTTTTGTTTCTGTTCTCTCCCTTTCTTTCAGACTTTCTCTGTCTTTTTTTTCTCTTTCTCCTTTCCTTCCTCCCCCCCCCTTATTTCCTTCGTTCTTTACATTCTTTTTCCTTTTCTCTTTCTTTCCTTTCCCTTTTTCCTTCTGCTCCTCCTTCGTCTTTTTGCTTTATCTTTCTTGCTTTCTCTTTCTTTTTCTTTGCCCTCCGTTTTTCCTATTTTCCTTTGTCTTTTTTCTTTTCCTTCTTTTTTTTTCTTTTTCTTTTACATTTTTTTGTTTTTCTTTATTTCTTTTTTTTCATTTTTCATTTTCCTATTTTTTTCCTTTTCCGTCTTTTTTTTGTTTATTTGTTTGTTTGTTTGTTTTTGGTGTTTCTTTTCTTTTTTTTTTTTTTTTTATTTTCCTCTCTCTCTCTTTCTTTTCTGTCTTTTATTTTCCCCGTTCCCCGTCCATTCCCATTCTCGTTTCCTCCTCCCGTCCCAACCTCTCCCCATTCCGACCTTCAGATCGAAGCCGCGGCGCTGCCCCGGGCCTGGCCCTTCCTGCCGCCTTCCCCGGGCAGCCCCGGCCCGGAGGGAAAAGCCTCGGCCCGGCCCGACCCGTTCGGGTCTGTGGGGCCGGGAGGCGAAGGGAGAGGCGGGCGGGAGCGGCGCGGCCGGGAGCGACCCGCGGGGCTCTGCTGCCGCGTTTGGCACTTAGCACGGGGACGCGGTTAGAAAAGGAACAGAGCGGCACCTCCGCGCCACGGGCCGTTGGAACGGGGCCCCCGGGCGCCGCCCGCGGTTCGGTTCGTTTTGCGGTCTACTTATGGGCGCACACCGAGAGCAGCTCTTCGGGAACGGCCGCGGCTGCCGGGAGCGGAGAGCTCGGGGCCCGGGGGAACCTCGGAGGAGCGGCCGCTTTGTTCGGCGCACACGGCGCTCCGCCGTTACCGCCTGCTCTTCGCCAGCCGCCTCCTGAGAGTGCCGGGCGGCATTCGGGCACCGTGCGGGCGCCGGATGGTTCGTGGTCCTCCTCGCGCTGGGGAAAGGACCGAGCCGGGAACTGCCAGTGCTTTGCCGTGTGCTAATTCCAACTCGTCTTCAAGGTCTGATTACCGAAAAGGGGCACAGAGCATACAAACGCCGTCAAGATTTTAATTTTTTTTTCCACTTTCGCCCGTAATTCACGTTGCAAATGTGCCCTTTATGACAAAATGGTGATGATGCTGCAGGGCTGCCTGCAGCGGGGCCAGCGCTGAGGGATCGTGCGTGGCCCTCTCCTGCTCCTTCTGCTTCCTCCCAAACACGGAGCGGCCGAGGAGCAGGACGAGCTCATTAAAAATAGTTAATAGGTTAATAGGCACCCGGGCTTATATTTCTCTAATGCAGAACGCTGTTGCTTCAGTGCTGTGGCTGTGAGGCGTTACAGGGAGCCAAGAGAATGAATCAGACGTTTAATGGAGATGTGGAAGCGGAAATCTCTGCTAGGGCTACAAAAATGAGAGCCAACAATACACTAAAATATAATAAAGTTAGCATTAAAATTCCGCACACGAAGTGCCAACGTGTCCCCGCTCTCGCTAGGCACAAACCGAAGCAAAGCCCCAACGAATGCCCGGAGCCGGGACTTTGGCTGCGGTCCCCCCTCTCTGTGTCCCCATCCCCGGGCTTTGGGGGGCTCAGCCGGGACAGTTCCCTACGCGGGGCTTCGGGGAGCGCCTTCCTTAGCGGCTCTCTTCTCCCCCCGCCCCCCCGGCCCGGACGGCGCTCGGGTGCTGCAGCAGAAATCCTTTTCCCTTCTGTTGGTCCGGACTGACCCCTACTGGGGGAGAGCCGCGGAGCAGAGCGGGGCGGCCCCACACTGCGAGGGGAGCAAAGACTTTCTATAGGTTTTGTGCGTTTATTGTGAGAAACTGTTACGGACTAACAAAAATTAAAGCAACAACAACAACAACATATATATATATATATCGGAAACAAGCAAACAAATAAACAGACGAACCAGCGTGATTCCACTTTGGTTTCACGTGAACAGCGAAAATGTGTGGAAATGTGACTGGCAGTGCTGTTGCGCTTCTGTAGTCTCTTTGGCTCGATGGGAAAAACGTACGCACGGTGGGGGCACCTCGGGGCATCGGGCCCCATGGGACCGCAGAGCTTTGCTTAGAAGCTGCTGGCACACGGTCTCCCGGGCTGTCGGGGAACCGGAGATCGTTATATCGATGGTCCAAATGGGGACGGGAGGGAGGAAGTGGCGGCGGCGGCAGCTCTCGTTATGTGCGTGTTTTTATGGCTTTTAGAAAACCACACTGCAGCATTTTCCATCGCATCCGAGGCTGACAGGGCTGCATTGATTAGAACATCCGATTTAGGTCATAAAAAAAATTCACTCGGAGCAGCACAGTCCGTAACGCCACGCTTTTTTAAGACGTCTCGCTCCCGTCGCTGCGGCGCGGAACGCAACACGGAGTCCTCCGCTCCCTGCGCGTCCCCGACGCCGAGCGCGCCCGTTGCCGCCAGGGGCTGCTGTGCCGCCGGGAAGGGCGCAACGCTCCGCGGGTACCGATCCCTCGCGGCTCTGGGAGGCAGTCACGGCCCTCGGCACCGCGCCGGGGGCACCGCCCGGCCCCCCGAGCCCGGAGCCTCACGGGGCGACCCTCCGGAGCGTGGCTGAAACTTCTGCCTTCCGTGCGTCCTGCCGGTGCCCGCCGCTTACAGTGCGCACCCCTGGTGAGGTTGCTGGACGGCAGAACTGAGTGATATTTCACAAACGGCCAAAAATCAGGCTGCGCACAGCCTGGGTGGAAAGGCATAGCCTGTCACTCAGTGTTCCACGCAGACGTTTGCGGTAAAATACCGGCTCTGCATGGTTATACTGCCTGCAGTGCATGGGAGTGTACGCGGGAAAGGTGTGTTGCAAATGCATGGCGTGTTCAGGCAGCTGCAACAAGTTCCAGAGTGAATCTTGGAGGAAAACAGCAGTGGTTTGCCAAGCAACCACCATGTCTGAACCATCTTTTGGGAAAAAGAAATGGCATCCTGGGAATCGTGGCATGGAAGGAAGATCTGTACGCTGCTCCACACCTGGACCAAGGGGTGGCAGGTGGGACACAGCTTCCTGCAGCCACATCATCCTGGAGGTTACCTGGTGATGTTCCTCACTCTTCTGTGCTTTGTTTGGAGGCATGGCCACTTTGCTTCCCTGGATTTTTGGGTTTTTTTGGGTTTTTTTTGTGTGTGGTTTGGCATACAGCTGTCCCTACTTCATAAAGTTTGAGCGTGCAAGCTCCAAGCACGTAATTCTCAGGCACAAATACCACGGACTGTGACGTTTCGCTGCCAGACTACTGAATGCAAACAGCTTACTTGGCACGTTAGCTCAACACAGGACAATTCAGCGCTGTCAGTAGATTTAAATTAGTAAAATATGGATGCTTATATTCCATTCAGGATGCCTTGGCAAAGCACCGTTGTCTGTCAGCACATGTTAACACCAACAAGACAAGTGTTAGAGTTCATATTGTATTCATTTAGAGGGAAAAAAGAGACTCCGTTCTGTTTTGCTTTGTGCTGTTTCAGGGGAGGACTCACCTGGGAGTGCTCAGGTTGTGCGACAGTGAGCTCCTGGCCTGGAATCCAGCTGTGTGCACTCCCCAAGCAGCACCAGGCGCAGGTGCTGCACTTCCCCATGCGGTCCCAGTGCTGCTTGGTGCAGTCCCTGTGGTGCGGGAGCACCTGTGCTAAGGGCTCGCCATGCACTATGCTGCTCAAACTCTGGGGCTGTTGTGTGGCTGCTCTCCTCTCTATATTTCTCTATAAGGAAAAGATTGCAAATTGATTACATGCAGCATCTTACAGTGCTGTTTATAATTACTACAACCTGTGGGACACTGTGCTGTTGCTGACGTCGTGTGACATTGCCATTGATGCTGAGCAGTGGGTACTGACATTTTCCACATCTCCACTGTTCTGTGCATAAGTAGGAATCAATTTCAACAAGACAAAAGCTGCAAACAATTTCTGATTCTAAGAGTACCAACAGTTGGGCTCCCCTCTGTGAAGGAGGTGTAAATCTCCAAGCAGAATTCCAGGCCTGGCTGATTCTGTTCCTCAGTCTCACAGCTGCCAAGGGCCGCTTCCTACAGGCTGCTCTTGCTGCAGAGGGAGGGGGGCTGATCTGCTCCGCTGCCCTCTGCGGAAGGGGCTCGGTGACAGTCAGCAGAGGCTGCAGCAGCCCCTTTCGCAGACTGCCTTCCCAGCAGGGCTCTGCACGCAGCTCATGCACGCGTTTTCACACAGGGATTATGTAACTCTGGAAGCGTAGGGACTTCATTGTGCGTCTGCCTGCAGAGCGCTCCCCCTTCTGTACACAGAGCGTAGAGACAGCACGGAGCCGCTTGCTGTTCGGGGCAGCGTGGCTGTGGTGTGCTCTGCGCCTTACCCGATACCAGGGCTGAGCGTGGGGACACGCTGGGTGCCACTGTTGTGGGAAGCACTGGGCCCAAGCACTCGGCTTTGGTTTGTTCGCCAGCAGCTTTTGGTCACCGAATGGATGTGGGAGGCAGAGGCCCAGCAGCAGGAATCCTCTCAGTTGAGGATTCTTCACTGATACTTCACTTGTACATGAGATCCGCCATAATATTGGCATATCAGAAGGGCTGTTTGCAGGCATGCCAATGTCTCCATGTGTGGAGAATGTGGCGGTTCCTACCACATATTGTGAAAACACAAAAACACTCCAGAGAAGTAATGTTACATTCCAGGCAAAGCGGCTCATTGCCCCACAGGATCCTGAGCAGCAGAGAGGAGGATTCCTACCCGACCAGTCCAACCAGCTGTGACTCAGGGCACTGCAAGCTGTGGGTGTGTACTGGGTTTCCAGGAGCAGCCAGACGGTTCTGCTGCCAGTCCCAGCCATTCTACTGCCAGCCCCACTGCTCTGCTTGCAGCCCTGGCCCTCGCTCATCTTGTGTCATCTCTGTGCCTTGCCTTGTCTCCTTGTCAAAGCTCAGAGACAAGAAAAAAGGAAGACCAGGCTCATGTGCCCACCCAATCCTTCTGGCACCTGGTTCTTGTTTATAATTCTCTCTCCTCCTGGCCCTGCCCATAGGATTGCTCATGCTGTCACCCCACTGTCACCAGTTGCTCAGGTGCTTCCTCTCTTCCTTATCCCCAAATTTAGTGACTCATGCTCTTGCACTCACCTGCACTCTATTCATTAATAACTTTGGCTTTCTGACTCTGCTGGTTAGCCTTTGCTGTTATCATTACATTAGTCCATTTGCTAAAGAAATATTTTCTCTTCTGAGTTTTTCTAGATGAATCTTTTCCCTTTCACAGTTTAGGAGGTGGCTGCTCATCCCTGGATGGGATGTAAGCATTTGCTTTTTGGGTCTGGTCACGTTCAACATCTTCATCACTGACCTGGATGAAGGGATAGAGTGCACCTTCAGCAAGTTTGCTGATGATACGAAGCTGGAAGGAGTGGCTGACACATCAGAAGACTGTGCTGCCATTCAGAGAGACCTGGACAGGCAGAGAGTTGAGCAGAGAGGAACATGATGAGGTTCAGCAGGGGCATGTCCTGCACCTGGGGAGGAATAACTGCAGACATCGGTACAGGTTGGGGGCTGACCTGCTGGAGAGGAGCTCTGTGGAGAAGGACCTGGGTGTTCCGGTGGACAGCAGGTTGGCCATGAGCCAGCAGTGTGCCCTTGTGGCCAAGAGGGGCAGTGGGATCCTGGGCTGCGTTGCAAAGAGTGTGGACAGCAGGATGAGGGAGGTGATCCTTCCCCTCTGCTCTGCCATGGTGAGGCCACATCTGGAGCACTGTGCCCAGTTCTGGGCTCCCCAGCTCAAGAAGGACGGGGAACTTCTGGACAGAGTCCAGAGGAGGGCGACAAAGATGATCGGGGCCTGGAGCATCTCCTGCACGGGGAAAGGCTGAGAGAGCTGGGGATGTTCAGCCTGGAGAAGAGAAGGCTGAGAGCGGATCTGATCAGTGCTTATCAATATCTAAAGGGTGGGAATCAAGTGGGTGGGGCCAAACTCTGTTCTGTGGTGTGCAGAGATGGGGACGATGGGCACAGACTGCAATGCAGGAATTCCATATGAACATGAGGAAGAAGTTTCCTGTGAGGACACTTTCCTGTGCGATCTGCACAGGGATCATCTGCTCCAGCGGGGGGCTGGGCTGGGGGATCTCCAGAGGTCCCTTCCAACCCCTGTGATCCTGTGATTTTGTGCAGGCAGCAAAGCATCACTTGTGTGTGCCCAACGTGGAAAGATCCTTTTTGTGGCTTTACTGCTAGGCCAGCTTTGCCGGGAGGTGTGCAGCAGGGCTGTGCTGGCAGGGCCATGGGGAGCAGCAGGCAAGCTGCTCAGTGCTTCCGTGGGCACCTCGAGACAGCGAGTCCCAGGGCGGGGAGCGGCGGGGTCCTCACGCTGGAGATGAGGAGCACTGATGGAGAAACACATTTACAGCCGTGTTTACGAGGCGTCGGCAACCAGGCAACCTTTGTCCGAGGGCGGGAGCCACACCTCAGCGCGCTGCCTGCCCTGTGCTCGGGGCTGGCCTCCCGCAGGAGCGGCCCTTCTCTGAGGAATCAGAGCCATCACCGAGAGACGCCCTCGCGTCAGCCCGACCCGCAGGCCGGGAGCGCGGCTCCACGGGCAGCGCAGGTGCCGCGGGGGCGGGCGGCGCCGGCCCCGCTCCGCCCAACGACAGGGGGGAGGGCCGGCCCGGCGGCGGGCGCACCTGGACACCGCTGCGGCGGGGACGCGGCCGGCTCCGCGCCCCCTGACGGGGCTGCCAGCGCCGCGCCCGGCCACAGCGCGCTCCCGCCGCCATGTCGGCCCGGCGGCGGCGACGAGCGGCCGCTGACGAGGAGGAGGAGGAAGAGGAGAAGAAGGAGGCGGCGGAGGAGGAGGACGGCAGCGACAGAGTGAGGAGCGGCGGGGCCGCGGGGCTGGGCAGGCCGCGGGCGGGCGGGCGCCGGGAGGCTGCGGGGGGCGGCGTGCCGGCTCCGGTCACCGCGGGGAAAGGAGGGCTGCGGGCGGAGGGCCGCCGGGAGCCGCGCTGCCAGAGCTGCGGGGCTGTGCGAGTGAGAAAGTGAAAGTCTGCCGGCAGCCCGCGTCCTGCACTTTGGTTGGGAGGGCACGGAGCCACCGAGCTCTGCAGTGAGCCGGAGCGTGCTGCCTTCAGGGCCCCGCTCGGTACGGCAGCGCTTAGGCCACAGCTGCGTGTCTCTCCCTGCACGAGAACTTGTTTTAACTCTGACTTCTCATAGCGGTCTGCTCAAAATACTGCTTTCCGATGGAAGCATTTGGTTTTGCTCAGCTCTGGAGGTGGCGACCTGCCCCCTGACCCCCCGTCCCACCTCAGCTTCCCCCGCCACAAAAGGGCTCATCAGGCTGCTGGGAAGGCAAGCCAAGGGTCTAGAGTTGAGTTTTCTATCGGCCACAATTAGGTCCTGATTTAGTGATGGGCGCAGTGGTTGCACGCGCCATAGGGGATCTGATGGGCACTATCAGGACGTTGGGATTCACAGGTGCCACCACACTCCGTGTCCCCGTAGATGGGGATGTGTGTGCTCTGCCTCTTGCCTCGCCTTTGTAACATGCAGATAGCACGTTCTCCTTCAGATGTTTGCACATTGCCTGTTCTGCCTGGGGGCTGCACGTTTGGAAACTTGTTCCCTCCTCCATGACTGCTCCAGGTGGCTGTGAAGCAATGGGTTTCTGCTGCTCCCCACTGCGCAGCTGGGAAATATCACCCTCTTCCACACTTAAAGTGAGAAAGTGGATGTATGGAAACTGCTGGCTGCTGATGCAATTGCTGCTGACCCAATTCATTCAGTTTCCAGATGGGTAAAAGGGACATGCTTTAAAGCACCGTGCGTGTCAACGCAGGGGAATGCTCTGAGTTTGCTCAAGACCTGCAAGAACTCTTGAGTATATCTGAGGGCTTTTATCTGTTAAATCCTTCAGTGGCATTTTCAGTATGTTTGCCAATACATTTCTTATAATGTTTGCTAGGTCCAGATACACTCATTTCCTAGTGAATTAAGTAAAGCTGGTTGGTTGGTTGGTCTGGTTTTTTTTTTGTTGTTGTTTTTGGTTTTTTTTCCCCTTTTCTGCTCCTCTTCTTAGTAGTGCACAGAAACAATCAGTATCTGCTTCTACTTCCTTGTTTTCGAATAGAAGGTAACTTTGGTTTAGTACAAACGCAGTATGCCCTTTGTGTAGCTTGTTCCTGAGCGCTGCATAGCTTAGTGTCCCCAGCTGCCTGCAACCATATCAAGCTGATGACTGCAAAATTCCTGTCAGCCTGCCTTTGCCCCATGGGCCTCTGTGATTTCACAAGTTTTTTCTTTCCTTGTGTTGTCCTGAGATGCACAGGAGTGATCTTTAGGTCTTCGTGTCCCATTTGTTGGTGTGTGCCTTGTGAGCTTTTCCTATAAATGTCTTATATGTTTCCATGAATACTCCACTGCCCTCCAGAGCAAGAGGAATGATTTAGCGTTAAAATACTGAATATGAAAAAGTCAGTTACAGTTTTGCAGATTGCTGTTAGTGTGTTCACGGTACTCTCAAAATTCCACCTGTTGCATTCGTTACCGTGGAGGTTGCGATGCTGCTTTCAAGTGCTTGAAAGACATCGCTGCATCCTGAAGGTAGTGAGACGGTTACTTCTCATGGTGTCACACAGAGTTCAGGAAGCAGTGTTGTGTTGCCGTGTTGCCACCAAACGAGTTACTGTGCCCAGGCTAAGTGTTAATTATTTCTAAGTAAAACAAACCTGGAATCACTGACTGGTGTTTCTCCAGTAACAGCGCAAAAGCCTGTTTCTGCTCAACGAAACAGCCCTTCTGGGAGTCAGCTGCTGGAGAAATGACTTGGGCTCAGACTCTCACCTGCAAGGCCGTCCCCAAATTTTGCCCAGAGTCATGGTGTGTGCCTTGTCCCCGGAGACATTTGAGGTCATGCTGGATGGGGCTCAGAGCAACCTGCTGAAGCTGTAGGTGTCCTTATTTGTTGCAGTGAACTTGGACTAACTGACCTTTAAAGGCCCATTCCAACTCAAGTGATTCTATGATTCTTTAAATGTTCTTAACTCACTTGGAGTTAAATGAAATCCTCATGGCAGTACTGGTTAGAGTGAAATGTCAGGCTCTTTCAGTTTACTTAGTAATGTTGGAATAACCAGCAAATAGCCCTGGTTAGTTTGACGAGTAACAAGAGGACTAACTATTTTCAAAACTCACATCTTGGAAGTGGTGTGAGCTGGGATGTGGAGGTTTCAGTTGGTGATTTGGTGTGTGCAGTTCTCGTGGGATTGTGGTTTTGCTGATGTTGGGCTTTAACAGCTTGGAAAAAAAAAGGTTTTACTATTCAAGATCTTCTGATGCTTTGATAGCTTGGCTTCCGAGGAAGGTATCAAAATACATTAATTTAAATATGCCACAAGGTGTTCTCACTGAACTGTTAGCTTCAGTGTAACTCTTGTGGGAGAGACTGCAGAAAGATCAATGCTGGAGGAGAAAAATGAACAATTACGCTGGTAAAATGGCAATCAATTATTTGCTTTGTATGTGCATTTATATATGTGAAAATAGATGTACATATATATACATATAAGTTGTTGGGAAATGTCCTTTTCTCTTAACATAGGTGATGCTCCATCCTCTGAGGAAAGCATGTTTACTGTCTACCTGAGAGTTTCTTACCGTGTTCTGGAAGTAGTCCAGTACTAACAGAACATTGCAAGTACCTTCATAACGAGTAATTCCTGTGCATGTTTCACTCGGCATCTGTTAATTGTAGCACAGAATGTCTTATATGGGATGGCAATTAAGATGCATATGGCCTTTTAGAGGATGAGAGGTTGACAGGTCTGTTTTTATTTTTATGCATGACACATGGATGCATTTTGGTGGCTGCTGGAAAGCAGAAAGCAAGCAGAATTCCATATGGAAGCTTGATTTTTTTGTTCAAATGTCACGATACCTCCTGCTAGGTAGGCACAGTGGCCTTCTTGAGTTCCTCCTAGGGAATGGTATTTGTAATATTGCTCAGACAATTTAGCTTAAGGATGGAAGTCTTGTCACTTTTTAGGAAAGCCAATGTTAAAACAAACCAAACCTCTACAACTACATACACCTTTCTCTTGGGTTAGTTCACAGATGCTGAAAACTGATGAGCATTGTTGTTTCAGAAGGAGACATCTGTTGCGTGCTGAGCTCCTAGGAGCAACTGAATAACAGTTGTTTGCCTTCTTCCTGTTCTTATCAGGCCAACATCATTCAGTCCTGTTGGACTAAGCCTTAATGAGCTGGTTAGATGGGTTCTCTTGCAGGAACATGAGCCTTCAGATGAGGAGAGGCAAGCAACAGCCTCCTTGCAGCGTCTGTCTATAAAAGGCACTTGGGGCCTGAGCCGATGAGATGAGTGCATGTGAAAGGCTCTGTCACCTGCTGTGTGAGAGCTCTGGGGAGATGTGGCAATACCTCATATCAAACATCTAATTTGGAGCTGGGGTTAAAAGGTGTCTTAGTCATTTTGGACACTACAACTTCTGGTGTTTTCACTTTACGTTTGAAAAACTTGTCAATTAGTGCCCACAACCTCAAGCTGTAGCTTTTCACATCCTCATTGTTACTGTGTGTTCAGCTTGGTTAGGTCTCAGGCCAGGAGAATGGGAGAAGGAAGGGCTGCTGCGTTTTATATTTGCCCCAGAACTGATCTGCAAAGTCAAACTGAAATAGCAAGACTCCTGATCAGATCTTTTTTTTTTTTTTGAGGGCTGTTGTAGTGATCACATCACTGGTTACTGCAGTGATGATTGTTGTTACTCCTAGCTACTAACTGGAATGTTTATAGTCAAAGAAAAAAAAATGAACAAGAAAAGCTTGTCCCCAAGTGATTGGGTTCTTAAGGCATTTCTTGCTGGAGATGACAATTAACTGACTGTTAGTGAGCAACTTCCTCTTTGGCTTCGGACTTGGCAAATTAAATACTTTACTCAGGAAATGTTTTCTGGCCATTATAGCATGAAATGGAAGATGAAGTAAGTGCTCAAGGTCATTGTTGAGGTAAGGTTCAAAGGGAAATAGAAGATAGTTCATGGTTTATTCCCCACAAGTTGTTCTAGCGATTTAAAGCTTAAAAAATGGCAGAATGTGTGCAGCTTGAGGACTGCACCAGCCCAACTTCTGTTGGCAGCAGCAGCAGCATCAAACTGCTGAAGATGCATTGGATAAGCACAGGAGGACTCCTTCATGGTGTTTGCATGCTCTGAAAAATGCCACAGATTTCAGATGCTGGAAATATCAAATTGAAAACATTGCTTCAAGTTAGGTGCGTAAGTGAAAATTGCATTAAAATATCAGAGGTGTAAAACTAAGCATGATTTTATTTCTTGCTGTTTAAACAGCAATTGAGCATGGAACCACTTAGGGCACTGCTGAAAGCCCAGAAATGGAACAGAGATCTTGGAGATATTTTTAGTTCTCAGTACGTAAAGGAGAGAACTTCTCTGCTGTGCACAAACAAGGATTAATATTAAATACCCTAAGTCGTGGTCTCAGGGCCAGGATTACTACCCTTCATCTGCAGTGCAGTGGTATCTTCTAGGGCTGTACAAACAGCCTTTTGTACTTGGATGCAGACTGTAAGAGGTGGAACATTGGTTTGGAAGAAGGCTTGTGATTATTTTTTATCTTTTTCTTGTGCATTATGATACCTATAGTTGATTTCCTAACCTGTAGTACTACAAAACTGGAAAAAAACATCTCTGAATAACAAGACTTGCATGCCCATTAATTGTTTGTTTGCTTGCTTTTCAGACCTTCAAAAACTTCCTGAGATCTAGATCACACTTGAAATATTTACTCTTCTAATGCCTATTAATTATAGTCAGTGTCTGCCTGATGATTACTCAGCCATGAGCTCAGAGGGGAGGGCCCAGCCTCCCTGCCCACCTCCTGCAGACGCTGTGAGCCCAAACAGCCCCAAACCAGGCCCCCAAGCTCCCCGTTTCAGCCCAGTTTTGTGTGTTTCTGATTGCGGGCTCCATCAGCAGCTTCAGGCAGTGAGGTTTGGCACGCCTTACCTTTTCCACTTGTGTTGTTGACACAGGTTGTTGGTTACTGAGGCTGAGATTATGGTTATTGAGGCTTTGATTATGTTCAAGCACAGCTTCCCGTAGGCCAAGAGGTTACAGGGAAAAGGCTACAGACTGTAGAGGAACCGTGCGATGGCTCGGACTGTAGACCTCAGCTCTGCAGTGTTTTTTTGGAGGCAAAGGCAAACGTACTTCCGCTGTCTTCCAAAATACCAAAAATATTCAGAAGAATGGAGCAGCTGCACCAGGGTCAAGTGCGGCCTTCCGCCTGCCCAGAGTTAGGGGTTTGTAACAACAGAATGAAGTAAAGCAGCACCTTGGGTATTGTCTGCTGCTGAGGAAAAATAAATCTCAATGATCTGCTCTCACTGTTGGTGACAGTTTGCACATTAGAATGCATATGTTGCTTTTGGATAAGACAAAAGATCGGTCTATCTAGTATCTTCTGAGTGGTTGTTAGTGAATGATGAAGATCCAGGTGCATTGCTGGGGTTGTACCAAGAGGTTATTCTGAACGATACTGTCACTGATCTCTTCATAATTTGTTCTTAGGTCATTTATTTTCAAGCTGGAGGGTTCAAGGGTCCCTTCAGTTTGTTCTTGGGTCATTTATTCTCAAGCTGGAGGGTTCAAGTCCCCTCATAGGTGTGTGTGAGACTGTGAAAGCAACCTCTCATTGCGGAGCTGGACTGGTTGGTCAGGTGCTCCATTTCCTTTCTTCTTTGTGTGATGCCTCCAAAAGGCCCTTTGCTGCCTTAGATTAGCTTGAAATTAAGGTGAGGAAGAGTGTTAAAGATTAAGGGATTTTTGTTAAACCTGTGTGTTATTCACCATTAGTTTTCTGGAAACAAATGACTTTGTGCTTAAATAGATAAGTAGAGAGAGTGCTCAGAACATGAAGTTTCCTGAGTGTAGCAGGTCATGTCACAACACTGGAGTACTGCCCTTCTCGTAAACCTTTATTGATGCACACTTGCTTCCTACAGCATCTACCACTTGACTAGCACATCGTTGCTGTTTTGATTTAGGGAACTGATAATTCCTATGTCACTTTCTAAGTTGTGTTTGTGACTGAATACTGTATTGTGGCATAATTCATATTCCTATATGTCGAGTTGAGGTTACTGAGCTATATTTTTTTTCTCCTCTGGTCATAGGAAGTGGATTTGGATGAAGGACTTGTTGATTTGGATCTCAGAAATGATTCTGATACCCCTGATGTTCCACCGCCAACAGACAGCACTCCAGAAATCCTCAAAAGGGCTTTGTCAGGCTTGTCTGCCAGGTATTGTAAAGCAAACAAGCTCTCTAATCGGAGAGCTGCCAACTAAAATTAGTGCAGACTGTATTGTAGTTTTAATTTTCATTTGGTATATACAAAAATTCAAGGATAATTTTTTATTTGTTGTCACAATTGATGTATTTATGCTCATTTAATGTAATGTTTTTTCACAGCAGCTGAAGATTGCCCACAGTTCACTGAAACGTTTGCAGTTGTTCTGTCTAAGCGTTGCAATAAAATATGTTCTGTCTAAGCGTTGCAGTATTTGGGTTCAATCTCTAGAGTCAGAATTTCTAGGGGTTATAAACGCTTATTTCCTACATCCAAGCTTAATGAGGGGGCAGTTCGTATTTAAGTGAAAGTGTTGATTCTCTGGATTAACTTTTGTAAGTTTTTTGAGCAGCATTTCCACTTCTGATACATAGGCCATTAGGAACAAGCTGCTTTGTTGCTTGTACTGAAGGGGAACTTGAAGCCTTATTGTAATGAATTCCTCTCCAACTTTGTTCTGACAATTTCGGCAGTTCGACTTAGTTGTTTTAGCTGCCATTAGCTGGCAGATCAATATCAAATGAATGCAGTTCAACTCTACATCAAATGCAAAACATGAAACAAAACTGAGTGTCTCTTGAAACAAATGTGTCTATTGGGGCAGCAGTGACACTTAAAACTGGTATTAAAGGAAGACACTCTGATCGCCTTTTCTTTAAGATCTGGTAGTCTTTCTTTTGTGCTTAGCAGTAAATTGTGATTTCTTGGTTGATTGTACATTTATGGGCAAGATTTTTGAAGGGAGCAAGGCAGTGGAGGAGAAGAATTTACTGAAAAGAAAGTACAGTACACACTATTAATAATTAAAAACATTTCCATGACAGAGAAGAGCATGCAGTGAGTTTATTCCCAGATTTTATATATATATATATATATATATATATATATATATTTCTTTATTTCCTGTATGCTGCTTTCCTGGCAGCCTTTCTTTTACATGTAAGTCTTTGTATGGCTGATTTCCCCATGTCTCTTGCTGTAAAATGCTCCCAGAGGGTCCTGATGTATTTTCACAGCCGCCTTCGAGGAGGGGCTGATCCATAACGTCTGAAATAAAAGGGAGGAGAGGCTATGAGGAAAGAGGGAAGATTACTACCTTTGCTTTCTTCTACCATGAGTTCTGTTGAGCTGGCAGCTAGTAAACTAGATTCTGTGTTTCTTGCTGTATGTCCTATTAAGCAAGATGTATCTGGGCTTCCTGCTGCTTCTAATCAACTCAAGTATTCGCACAGAGGAGTGGCCTTTGTTTTCATTTGTAACTGGTTGCTTTTTATGCTGTTTTTCTTTACAGATGGAAAAATTGGTGGATTCGTGGAATTCTAACGCTAGCTATGATTTCTGTGTTTTTTCTGATCATATACATGGGATCTTTCATGCTGATGCTTCTGGTGAGTTTCCTTAAGTACTCTGTATTGTGCAAGAGTTACTTAATCTCTTTGTCATGCATAAGGAATAGCTGGAAGCAAAGTGCAGACATTACAGAAAGCAATTTCTCTTCTGTAAATGTAGGTTTCTTTGAACTACTGAAAAGGTTCTCAATCGGGTGCTTTTGGATGAAGGCCTCCCGATAACTTTATTTAGGAAGAAATTAAACGAGTCAAACAGATTTTTGCCTTGAAGCTTATGAAGTTAATCTATTTGCTTGTCTGATTCCCATTACCTTCTCATACCCTCCTTCGATTTTGTTTGAAATACACAAAGGCTGAGAAAAGCAGGCAGTTCAAGTCAGCTGGCAGTGCCTGGCGCTGGAGGACTTTCCTCAGTCACGCTCCATTAATTCCCTGCTTCTCTCCAGGGCTGCCTTGGCACCCTGGGTTCATCCACTGAGTGGAACTAGGTCTGTGATACAGAGACAAAATGCATTTTTAGGTCACAAAGTGAGCAAACAGTGGATTAGCATCCACTGCGTGCTGTTTCTTTCCATTGTTTTTATTTCTGGTATTCTTAGTGAGTGAGGGTTTAACTATATATTTTTTTTCAGTTGTGGCAAGCAACAAAAAGGAATGTGTTTTATAAAATTCTGGAGTTTAGTATTTCTGGTTAGCTGCTTTGATTTCTCCCCCAGGATTGTCAAATTGTCAAAACCTTTATTTTTTCCATGTCTGCTCCGAAACACCTCTTGGAGGGTAACATCTTGAGATGCTGGAATGCTGTTTCACCAATATTATGTTGTGTGTTACTACATCTGAATGAGTCTGGTTTGTATTTCTGTCCTCAGAAGAATGACACAACAAGCTTGTGATTTCAGTGGCAGATGATTTTACTGAGTGTATGAAGAAACAACGAAAAAAGCTCTGATAAGTTATAGCTCGTTGGAGAGACATTTCTTACTATGTCAGTAGTCTATAACACTTTCAGAAGTGCAAAAAGGAGCAAAAAGAAACTGCTGGCCTTGCAGTATTCTTTTCTATATTCATGGTACGCTGCAAAGTTTTAGTCATAGCAAAGCTAACAGGATATGAACTAAAAAGCAGTTGAGGTTAGTATAGAATTAATAGAGAATTCTTCTTCTGTACTGTAAAGCAAGAAAGACAGTTGCCTAATACAGTTAATTGTGTCTAAATTTGATATTTGTTACAGGTTCAAAAAGTGAAGTAATAAAAAGTTTTGCTTGTGTATGATTTAGTTTCACTGGAGTCACATAGCTTGAATTTTCTCAGGAGTTGGTACTGGCCTGGAGGATGGCTGGAGTGCTCTAGGAAGGGTAATCCAGATAAGTTTGGAGGACAAGTCCTCAAACTGTTCTGAAAAACTGGGGGAATGTGTTTTACATTTCTTTGCTGTTGAGGCAGAAATTTTCACACCTTCACCCCCAAATGTCCTTTTCCTGTATAAGGACCAACCCTTAAATACTATGGGCAATAGTGACATTAGAGTTTATGATGAAGGCAAAGCAGAATTGAGAGCATGAGCTAGGCAGATGTCAGAATTAATTCGCTGAGGTGATGTGATACTGTTCAAACTGTGTTGAACAAGGTGAAATGTATTCATGAGTGCAGGTGCTCAGAGAAATCCTGCAAAGCCTGCTGTGATGACATGCACAGTCAGTGTGGGTAGGTTCCTCCTCCATTCTCTGCACAAGATTACTTCTTAGCACTGTTTGGAAGCGCTGGATATTGGGTCAAGATGGTCTGCTTGGTGACTAGAAGTTAAGCAAACCTGACTGAGTCCCTCAGGGCCCAGGCCCCACAGAGTGCACTTCCAGATGTGCATAGGCAAGCACAGTCATGGTGAGATCGTGAAACAGCACCAAGGCTGTGCGGGGTGTGATACTTATACCTGCACTAGATGACCTGTGCTTCTAATCAGCAGCGATAATTATCAGTGTAGGCTTACCTGTAATGAAGTACTTGCAAATGGAAGACTTGGCTATGTTGCGTTGCATGACTCTCTTTTTTTTTTCTCCTTTAAACCTTGAATGTATCTCTTAAATTTAAATAAAACTTAATCAAAAGAGCTTTCTCTCATTATGGAAATGCTTTTGACTTGCTGCCATCCAAGTATTTTAATGAGGAACAGTCAGGAATTCTCTCTTATTTCTTGAGGGGATTCTTGCAGCTAGCCCAGAGTGCCTTTTTTTGACAAGCTCGGTGTGTCTTTTTTGACAAACCCTATGGCTGTGAGTTAAGGGGGCAGGGACAGTTAAGCAGATCTTGACTTTCTCCTTGTTCTTGTTTGGAAGCTGTCTCCTTTCTGCATGGAATTTAAATTCAGAGTAATTTTTTTTTTCCCCTTAATGCAGGCTGCAGTATTCCACGCAACCTTTAAGAAACAAGCAGCGGTCAATGTACTTTTTTTTTCTTAATTTTAGGTCTTGGGCATCCAAGTAAAATGTTTCCACGAAATCATTACTATAGGTTACAGAGTGTATCACTCGTATGATTTACCGTGGTTCAGATCTCTCAGCTGGTAAGTAGCAAGCAAGGTGGTCAATAAGTAGAAATGAGAAATTTAAGTCTTAGCATTGTTTGTATCCTGTCATGATGGAAGGATAGCTTTGTAAATCATGTGCAGATGTAAAACATGACATCTGTCTCTGCTGCATGAGTCTGTAATTGCCTTCCTTTTGTGAACTTGAACAAATAAGTTGGCTTTTTACTACTTTTTTCCTGTTATAAATATGTTTACATGTACATATTTGTGTGCATGCATATATGCTTGAAGTCAGAATTAAGCATTTGAAAGCTACCTGAAAATGTGCATAATCACCTGACCTATATTATCTGAAAAGCTTTGACTTTTGCAGGTAATTCTGTGTACTTTTAAAGGGTTCTTTTCACAAGCAAGTAACTGAAATTGTAATGTACAAGTTCTGAATCCTTTCCTGTTTTGAGTTTAATCACAGGACTGGGTAGATAGAAGTGATAGGGGATATTTTGAAGACCACAAGACAGGATTAATGTTTCAGAGAAATCCGGGATATTTGTGTCAGTGTCCTGCTTCTTAGTACCACTTGGTCTACTTTGGCAGTTAACTACAGTCTATATGTATGCTAAGTTCAAAATCAACATTTCAGTACCACCCAAAGTCTTGACAGCTGGGTGGGAGGGTACTGCTGGTGATTGGAATGTGTGCTGTGAGGCATAGTTTGAGAGGCAAAGCCTTGCAAAGTGAACTTTAAGATTGGAGGAAAAGACAAGTGCTGATCTCCATAAACATCCAGGTATCCAGCCCATCTTGAATTATGAGTTTTTAGCTTTTCTGACTTCAGTAAAAAGCTGAAGAACATGCTGCTTGAGAGAGGTGCATCTTCTACTGGTTTTTAATTTGATAATTAAATTTAAATTTTTTCTTTTTTTTTTTTAATTTGCATGTTAGCTGGTTTGGCTGACATGAAGCTTTTTTTTTCTTTTTGAAAAAAACTTTCAGAGAGAGATATGTGAAGGTGACATTTCACTTTGTTCAGACTTCGTGTTTGGATTTACTTTCAATTTATTTTGGAGGAAATGGTGGTTGGACCTGTGTCATTGATTTTTTTAATCGTATGGGGTTAAAGTCAATTACTGTTTGGTGAAGGAAGCTAAAAGTGAAAGGCACAGAGGAGAAGATGCAGCTGTAACTCTTTCACGCAAAAATCTTCAGTCCAGATGGCAAAAGTAGAGTTCTGATCAGATCCTCAAACACATTGACAGATGGAAACTGTCACTTAAACTCAGAGGTTTTGTTCTTCTTCTTCTTATTTTTTTCTATGGCAGATATCATGTACTGTTCATGCTAGAATGTACCCACTTGTATTACTGAGTATAGAAGTTATCTGATACTTATTCTGTACTGTGAGAATATCTGAAAAGAGCTTTGGTAGGTATGAATTATTCAGTACAGTACATGAAACGATTTTTGGGACATTTATTTTTCTAATCTAATTTCATTATAAGAAATAAATTACAAATTTGCTTGTGGGAGAAGGCTTCAAACCAAAGGTATAGTGAAAATCTGAATTTATTCTTGCATTTGTATTCCATCATGAGCTCTTCCCACTTATTTGTTTTTCTTTTTGTGTATGTTTGTGAGCGATGTTAACTGAATGACACAACTTGGTATTACCATGTTAAAATGATAGCTACATTTTATTTGTTTTAGGTATTTCTTGCTGTGTGTCAATTACTTTTTTTATGGGGAGACTGTGGCTGATTACTTTGGTACATTTGTTCAGAGAAGAGAACAGCTTCAGTTCTTAATTCGTTACCACAGGTTCATCTCTTTTGCACTCTACTTGGCAGGTAAGTGTGGGGAATGATAGAAATTAAAGATCATTGTGCTGCATTTGTTCTTGTGCCTATTTGTGTATGTTTTCATGGTGGTTTTTTTGTTTGTTTGTTTGTTTTTGTTGTTCTTTTTTGTTCTTGCTCTTTTTTTTTTTTTTTTAAAGCTTCCTGCTGTTATCCTCTCTATTAATTTTTCTGTTGCTGTTGGAGGAAATTCCCAATTCTATTCTCATCATGAAAATGAGCGTAATTTTTGTATTCATTCAGAAACAGAGAGTAACCTAAGAAAAAGCAGATTATCTTAGGAAAGCTGAGCTTGTGGTGCTCATTAGGAATCAATGTGGACTGATTTTCTTGATTATAGATGATCCTGAATGTATGCGGGATGTTTTGACAGTCTGTGAAATAGCTTATATTCACCATTTCTGTGATGGGTTAGTGCTTTGTTGTGCAAGTGTTCTGCCAGGTCAGCAGCCAGGAGCTTGGTATTATATTTTCAAGCTATTCTTCCAAAGACATGAGAGTTTGTTTTATCTGCAAGGTGCACTTTTGCTTGCCTCATGGATAAATTTTCCTCCCAGTCCAGCTTTGCAGGATATGGCTTTGTAAACAGCTAAATACAGTCCACTCTGCTTTCAGGAACACAACATTAATATTACTTTAGCTTAGAAAGTAATCAATTGAAGACTCGGGTTGTTCTAAGGAGCAGGAGATAGCCATGCTGAAGTGTTCATAATATTGATGAAGAAACCTGATGTTAATAAGGAGCTTTGTCTACCGTTACTGTTTTTTAAGCTGGATATAAGTTTTTCTCCATGCTTAGATGTCCATGATGGGACCTTGGAAGTAACAAAACAGATGCTTCTTACTAAGGTTAGCTAAATCTTCTGCTCTAATGAGAATAATTCTGTGCCTGTGGTTGCTGAGCAGAAGCAAATACTCTGACCAGAGGAACTGGGAAGTGCTTCGAGGGAAGAGAATGACCGGCATATCGTGGTTCAGTGTCATTGAATATACAGTGGTACAAACTACACTTACTTTATTTTACAGGCTTCTGCATGTTTGTTCTGAGTTTAGTGAAGAAACACTATCGCCTGCAGTTTTACATGGTGTGTATTACTCACTTTGCTGTGGTCAGTCATGTTATGAATGTCACAAGAGTCATGTCATTATGTTCATAAAATAGCTTGGGAGTGCTTCAGCTGGCAGCTATGTGATACAGAGCAACGTCAGTCTGAGTGTCTACACCATGGGGCTGCTTGTGTCAGAAAGTGCAGTCTCTCAGTGAATCCAAGCTGTGATTAATGAGGCCCTGTGCATACCCAGTGTGATACATCTTGTAGTGACAGATGGGTGAAGGAGAGGCTCCTGGTGAGTGTCACGTGCCTTTCGTGCGGGCCAAAAACCAGACACGTTCAGCTCAAGGCTGGGCATGGCTCTGGTGACCACAGGCCCCACTGCAGTGCTAGGAGGGAGCCTGATTTGAACACCTGTGTGGGGAATTGTTTTTGTGCCCACTTAGCAGCACTTCTTCTGTTGTATAAACATGTGTTTCTATCTCTCATATTTGCCTTCTAGTACAGTATGTGGTGGATAGTCAAGAGCATTAACATACAGTTTTCTCGTGTAATTTTTGTAATGTGCCTTTTTTTATATCTAAACTGAAGGTGTAACATCACATCTATTAAAAAAGAAGGTAGAAATGACCAAAAACCAGTAAAACAGTAAGGCAGCACAGCCTTTTTATTAAAAACAAAGACAAAAACCAACAAAGAGAACAGTTTTTGAACGTATTGTGCAAACTGAAGTTTTCTTAAGGATCAGTTTCTGCTGTTAACTCCTGTTTCTGCAGGTGCCTTCGATGGCACTTTAGCATTGCAGATCACTCATTTTGGACTAGGACTTGGCTGAGTGCTGTATGATTTTAAAAATAAATAAATAAATAAAAGATTTACCCTTTTTGTGGGATAAGTTGCTTGATGGAGGGGAAATGCAGCTTTTCTGAGAGAGGTGGTCTTTGGTAATAAGCAAAGCACAGGTCCTTGTTTTGGGACCAGGTAAATACATTGCTTTCCCTTCTGGAAAAAGGAAGGGCAGAGGAATGTGGTCGGTCATCTGACATTGTGATTGTTCAGAAAACACTCAGGTGTGACTACATAAGAATTTCAGAAGAACAGAAGGAGCAGCGTATCCTCTGGATGGGAGAACACTGTTTGGATAGACAAGAACAGCCATTTGGTTTGAGTTGATGTTACACCTCTGTATGAATAACTGAGGTTTTGCTTCAAAGTTCCTTTATTAACCAGCGAATAATATGTTCAGAAAGTTTAGGTCAGTTCTTGCACTCCCTTTCAACCTTCTTTGGTTTTCTTAACTATAAGTTGTGGACTGCTATAGGAAAATACATGTGATAAGAAAACTTAAGGAAGTACCACATTGTACGTGTCAAATAGTCCAGACATGGAGTGCTTAAATCCAGAGTCCCATGGAAAAAAGACCAGGTCTTGATCTAAGAGTTTTTGGAAAGTGAGATGTAGAAGCATTAGTTGTAGGCTGTTTGGAAGCCACCTGATAGGTAGAGTAGTATTGGTGAACTTGACAGTTTAAATGTTCATGCCCATAAAAGTTAACACTTCCTTTTCTCTCATCCTGAGAAATCTCATGTTTCCTGAGAGGGCTGGTGTTAAGTCATGATGTCCACATCTGTGTGACATGACTCTTTCATGAGTTCTTCATTGCCATTTTATTGTTACAGTTCTAACTTGTCTGTTACATGTATATACACAGAATATCACATTGCTTACCTTTCTTTGCTGCTTTCGTGCTGAAAGTACACATATGTCTCACTAAATTGGACGTTCAGCTGCACATTAAAAATTCTGGTTGATGGAAGAGGATGAGGAAAGCTTTTAAAGTTTCAGTTCTTTCTTCAGAAAGCCAGCTTACTTGTGATATACTGTATGCATGCACCTCTGCATTATCGCTGGAGCTGATGTACGTGAGAGCCCCTAAGGGCTCTCCTAGCTGACATGCCAGTATTGATGGAGATGTACTGATCCGTGTTCTCACTAACTGTTGTGTTGTTGCATTGTTAACAGTTCGCATGGACTCATGTCACTTTGCTGATCACTGTAACTCAATCTCATCTAGTCATCCAAAATCTCTTTGAAGGCATGATCTGGTAAGGGGACAGTAATAAACTAATTTGTAACTCTGTTGCATTGAAAGGTTGACACTGCTATGTAGTGGATGTGGTTAGGGAATAACTGCAGAACAGTGGAAGTAGCACAAGATAAGAGCACCTATGCTTAGTTGGACAGGGAGCCGGAGGATGTGGGAGCGATGAGGTGAAGGTACAGGACAGTGGGAAGAGACCTCTCCATCCAGATGGCAGCCACAAGGATGGTGGTTTCAAGTAACCACTTCATTTGTCTGCCAGGTTCGGGATTAATTGCAAATGTTGTGAATATGGCATTTTGCTGAATGCAGGAACACGCAGCAGTTCTGTTTCAGCTGCTCGGGAGTTTTAGGTACCTCAGTTCTACTGAGGTTGGACCACTTAATTTGGAAGACCAAATCTGGCTTTAGGAGTCCCACTTGAGACCTTTTCAAAAGGTTTCAAGGACATAAAATCCTCAGAGATTAGGAACACCACCGTGGGAATTTTTATAAGGTAACTAAAAATGTTCTCACCTATTTTTAGCAGGCAAAGCGTAATAGTTCTGGCAAGGTGATGTAGCATGGATCAGTGGTCTGAAACCACGTCTTGTCTGTGTGGAGGTTCAAGTGAAATGACAGCAAAGACTCCCTTTTCTTGCTGACTGATGGCAGTCTCCAAGAGCAAGGTGTCTATTAGAAGAAAAACGCTTCTCCATTCCTGCCTTTAGTTTGTATGCTAAAGTTCAAGTCAATTCGTTTGAAATTCTCTATGAAGTTTAAATCTTGAATCTTGTCCGGTCATCCCAAGTCTTGATTTCAGCTACATATTCAATTCTGATGATGCAGTTAAACTTGATGACTTCAAAACTTCTCCCTCAAAAAGAAGTAATGCTTTCCCACCCCACACCTCTGCAGGTGGTAAATTACAAGTTGAGAAAGAAAGCAGCAGCACATGGAAAGCAGTGTGTTCTTCCAAGAACTTAATACTGCATGTTCTCCTTTTCCTTTTGTGATAGAAGGACAGTGGGAGATTATTGCAGAGAAGACATGTTCACAGTTAGAAAGAAAAAACCTTTGATGAAGTTTGTTTAACTGAATCATATCATATACAATCATAGTGATGTAGTTCATGTGAAAAGCTGAACCAAGTTTCCTTGCTTTCCTACCACTTAATTCCATTGGTGCTACTATTGCACCAGAAAATTTGGCAAATAATTATAACATCCAACTTCTAGTTTATTAATACATCTCTGCCTTGAAATAGGGGAAAATGCAGGTTAATGGGATTGAGCAGCTAATTCAGATGCTATCTGCATGCAGAGAACACTTTAGGAAGCTAACACAGGTTGCTGCAAACTGATGAGTGGAAGAAAAAGAAAAGCTGGCTTTCTTTTTTTAAAATTTAAGTATCATCGAACTTATAAGGAATTTGCTTGCTTTGATATTAACAATAATATTAACATGTTTCTTTCTGTTGATTTCTTCTTAATGGTGGTATCAGTCAGCAGGTCTGATAGAGAAACTCAGCCTGTTGTCATTTTAAGCTCACGTGCTAAAATTAAGTTTTAACTTGAATTGGCATGGATCTCTAACGGTCTTGATTAGCTGAACATTAACATCAGTATGGCTAATTGTGTTGCTTAGGGAGGAACAAGGTGAAGACGTTTTGAAGCATAACAGTTTCTAACTATTACAGAACATTTCCCAATCAAAATGCTGCTGTGTGAATTATAAATTATTTGTACTGAAGTTGAGGCAATTTTCCCCTTTCCCTATGTGAATCTTTCGGTGCATCTTTCTCTAGGTTTCTGGTGCCAATTTCAAGTGTTATCTGCAATGATATTGCTGCTTACATTTTTGGATTCTTTTTTGGCAGAACTCCATTAATTAAGGTATGTACGTAAGTATTCTTTGAATTTTTACAGTTTACAACATTTTTGGTACTTGCTAAAAAATAATGTTTATAGAATGAATGCTTTCACCTGTACTGCAGGTTACCTATTTGCTAAAAGGCACATAGTTTATCTGATTTCTAGAGATTTGTAACTGGCAACTGGAATTATGGTGAATGTAGTATTAACATCATAGTATAATACAGTTGCAGCCTATTTCATCCTTTTTTTTTCAATTTCTCATGCAGGTTAAACTGCATGCTTCCTTCACAGTGTTTAATGACTAACTTAGCTGGTGACATTCAGTATTTCAGGTGTACATATGCTCACAAGTAGGTGTTGATGTTTGCAAATGAAGTACAAAAATGGAGGTGGGGATAAAAGAGGGTTTAGTGATGCAGTTGTTGCAGCTAACTCTGTCTTGTACTTAGCTGTCTCCCAAAAAGACCTGGGAAGGGTTCATTGGAGGCGGCTTCTCCACAGTTCTATTTGGATTTGTTGTAAGTAACCACAGGACTTTCCTTTTATAGATTCCGTCTTTCATGTTCTGTTTTCAATGGAAATAAAATTACTGACAAATTAGGTCATCTCAAACTGCAGAAAGTCTAAGAGTTGGGCGTTTTTGGTGTCTTTTTAGCTACAGAATTCTGCTTAATCATAGGTGGTTTTAAAAGTTAAGCACAAGGTTTGTACTTCATCTGAATTACTTAATTGACTGTTTTGCCATTACTGTTATAGACTATATCTGGGATTTTTTTATCTAATAGTTACAGCTCTATTTTAAAAATTAAGTTTATTGAAAGCATTGCTTTTGCTTTGTGAAGGAGTAGCTTTGTACTGTATGCTTCATGTTGTCATTTTTCCTGACTGAAGTGCCTCTGGGTTTAGATGGGTACTTTACTCTGGTGGTATGTCTAGGATAAAAGAGCAACATAACTGATTTTACATGTAATTTATCACCAAGGTCAGACCTTGTACAAGTAGTAGTTCAAGTTTTAATAGAAAAGTAAACTGAAAAGAAATAATGAGTTGTAACTGTTTGGGGATATTATGATGCAGAAATACACTGCAGATATAAACCTGAGAGACAGAAAAATAAAAACAAATTGGGGAATTATCATGAGGGGCATTGAAATTCCATGTCTACCTGCCTTGGTGAGGCATTCTCTACCCTAAAATGAGGGCTCCATTCTTGTCTCTTTATTACCAAAAATTTTCATATCCTGAGCTTGCGATAACAAAGCCATTTATTAGAGTATGGTTTTTGATTGTAACAACTAATGCATATTTCAAGAGTTCTTGTTCTGCTTTCCAGTTTTCCTATTTCTTGGCTCAGCATCAATACTTTGTCTGCCCAGTGGAATATAACAGTGAAACCAACAGATTTGTGACAGAGTGTGAACCTTCAGAGCTTTTCCAGCTGAAGAAATACTCTGTGCCACTATTGCTTCAGGCTGTGTTGGGATGGGTAAGGAAAAAGCAAGGCTTTAATTAAAATAGAAATTATAAAGCCTAGCTTTAAAGTTTTTTCCTAAACCTTTCAGAAGGATGTGCCAGCACAGGTAGGTCTTCAGGGATAGAAACTGAATTGTTACTCTCAGCTTTTCTTACTCACACGAGGAGGGGGTCTTTCAAGCAGAATGCAGATGTGTTGCTGAAGTCACCTGAGGAAACGTCTGTGTCCTCGTTGCCTGTATTTGTGCAGGACATGGATGGTACTGCTCACTGTGCTGCATGTCACTCAACCACTCTGCTGGAAAACTGTTACAATCTTCAGCTGTTACAATCTGTGGAAAATTGGCCAAGGCTTGTTACGGCCAAAGTAGGCAGTAAGGGTAAATACTTTTGTTAGTAGAACATCAGTCCATTTTTGAGTTAGTGTGCAGCTGCATCTAGACTAGAACTTGCACTGTCTTTGTCAAATAGATCTTGTGTATTAAGGCCATTCCTTCTATTGTACATGGAGAAGAGCAGACTAAGTTACAGTTTCACCCAACGGAGTCACTGCAGCATGTCCTCACATGCAGCCTGTGCCTTCTGTCATGAGGCGTGCTGTGTGTTTACCTGGCAGGAAGCAGATATATCTATATATATATATCTATATATATATTTTCTTTTTCTGTGTATTTATATATATAAATTCTGTGTAAGTACATGAATAACTACATGTGCACACACACCCTACAACCACCCCTGCATGGACAGAGGTGTGCATGCATATATGTATGCAGACACATAGATACATCCTCCCACACGTGGCCAGATGTATACCTACATGCATACAAGTGAGTACATCCACATCCCTCAAACATCTCTACCCACATACATAAGCAGATCCACACCACATATGTATATACGCATACAGCCATGCACATGTGTGCCCTTATTTATATACATTTATAGACATGCACACACATGCACAAAATATATGCAGAGAGTGACCTAACCCCTACACATCTGCACTCCTGTATATGTACACATACCCTAAGCTGCACGCAACTCGCATGTATACTCCCCATGCATGGATGTGTGCACCCACCTGTATAAGTGCATGTGTGGGTATGTACACCCATGCGTGTTCATTTACCTCCATGCATATACATTCCCACACATACACAAACATAGATGTATGCATATGTGCATGCAGACACGCTTTTATAGACAATATGTATACGTAAACATGTATACATCCCACTCCACATCTATATATACATACACCCCATATGTCCCATGCACATACAGATGTGTGTGTATATACATCCTTGCTTACATGCAGACACAAGCAAACTTGCACAGCTACAGATACACACGTGTGCACGCATGTAGATGTGCAGATATACATTGCACAGCCACTCCTTACACAGGGATGTATATATACACATACATACCCTGTGCATGTGTATATGCATACATTTATATATGCATGTGTGCACTCTTTAATGTGTACATATGTTCAGTTATACATACATGTACAAACATGCAGACATACTTATCTGCATGCAGGCACATACTATGTATGCATGCTCACAGACATAAATATGTATACGTGCTTGTATATGTACATATGGTACAAACATTGATATGCATGCGTACTCGTGCAGACATGCATGCTTATGCACATGTATTCACATGCACATATGTGCCATATGTATACATTTACACATGAGTGCACTCAGGCACACTTATGTATGTAGATAGATGCACACAGATGCATACACATACAGACAGGCCCACATGTGTGCATGCAAATGCTAATGTGCATGTAAACATATGCATTCATATGCACATGTGTATACAGACACATGCACATCCCTGCATACACATGTATGTACACCTGTGCATATATACATCCCTGTGCATATACACATGCAAATATACATGTAGACACATACGTGTGTGCATGCATATATACACAGGCATATATACACACACAGACTTATGTGTGTATGCACTCACACATATACATGCATGCATACACACACTCCTTATACAGACACACACATATGCCCTAATCTTCCCTCTGAGACATAAAGGAGGTGCCTGTGACAAACGTATGACATGAGTGGGTTCTGTGTTACCTTCTGCCCTATTCATTGCCTCAACATTGAGAACAAGCAGACAGTGCTAAGAAAAATAGTGTGTTTTAAGTGCTTTTACGTGAGCATAGCATTTAATGAGAAAAGCTCACGATTGTAACAAGAAGGCATAAGTTGGAAATTGTTGCTGATGTTTGCAAGAACTGAGGATTGCAAATAATAGCCGCAGCTGGTAGTTCAAAACAAAACAAAACAAAAAGACGACTGCACCTAGAAGCAGCTCCAGTTTTTCATCCTGAATGAACACACCATTGCTTCAGAGGCTGTAGAGATGACAGCAAATGTAAAAATTATTTTTACATAGCTAAGTAGTGTGTAAGCTGAGCTAAGTCTTGTGTTGTCCTGCTGCGTTATGATTTTTGGTAAAGGACAAGGTGGTGGGAACAACCGGCTCTATCACAGTCCAGTTGAGACGTGTCTGCTCACCCCAAAAAGAGGTGGTGGTTGCACACACACCTCAGGGGCAGTATTGACAGACTCTGTGTGTCCGTTGAAGAGATAATTACTTAGAGCAGTATTTATAGAAAATCACCATCGTTTTAGGAAACAGTTGGTGTTGGCCAGGATACGGATCAGAAATGTAAAGTACCAGAGTTTCAACTGCAGATGGAGTGTATTGAGAATTGCCAGGGAAGGTGTGCTCTGCATGCAGCAGCGTTGCCAGGCTGAAGCTTGTGCCATTGACTTGGATGAGCTCAAAGATACAAAATAAAATAAAACTTATCATCATCAACGTATTATTTGGCAATAGGTATGTGTTCTCTTTCCTGACAATGAAGTCTCTCTTATCTCTGAGAACTGTACTGATCCAAAAGAGATGTTGAATCTCTGAACAAGATGAGGGGGGATGTTATATGGTCAAATGTAAAATCAAATATAAATGGAGTAAACCTTCCATATCCCATTACTGCACTGTAAATGTGTAGGGGGCAGTGTGGCAGACTTGTGCAGAAATTCCTGTCCCTCTCATGGGAGCACTTGAGAGGAGCAAACATGACAGTGAAGTGCGTGACAGCAGCCAGTTTTTGGGGACACTGAGTCACCTAGTCTTCAGAAATCCTATTAGCTATATGGAAAGCTCCATTCTCTACAGGACGCGGAGCTGGAAAAGCAGAGCTAGGAAGACTTTATTTCTTCCGATTGTTTGGCTGAAAAGTATTACTCTCTATTAGGAAAACAGAAGCTTTGTGGAAAAGTGCCCGATTTTAAAATATTTAAGCTGAAACATGCCTAGAATCAAAGGTACTGAAATATCCTGTTAATTATTTTTCTTGTAGGAAACGGTGAATATGTACCCATTCCAGATGCACAGCATTGCACTGTCAACATTTGCCTCACTAATTGGGCCATTTGGAGGATTCTTTGCCAGTGGATTTAAACGAGCTTTCAAAATCAAGGTGCGTCATGATTCCCATATGCTGTCTTTGTTCTGATTGTCTCTCTGTATGAGATTGGTTGCTTTGAGTTTTTTTTTCATATGTGGGTTCCATTACCTAATCTTTCTCAGACAGTGTACTGAAGCTGTGCTTCAGTAGCAGCTCTTTGTTTTATTGGATACGTATGTGTGTTATTCCTAAATTATTACTCTTCTTTTTTTGCATTTTGGTTGATACTATTCCTAGCTATGCTTCTAAGGTGAGCAAGATGCAAGATAATTATATTCCATACCACTCAGTAGATACCTATCAATCTGCAGATACTTGACCACTGCTGACAGCGGTTTGTCCCACGCATTAAAGCTGTACTTTACAGACCCAGCCTGTGCTGCATGCAGATGCTGTCACTTCTGTTCAGCGAGGCACAAGTGTTTGACTGCCTATGGCAACAAGTGTTTGACTGCCTATGGCAATGTGGCACTGTATTGTAGCAAGAGCGTGTGTTGACACACGATGCGATGTGTTGGCCTCTTTATCACAAGTGTGGTAGTCCCTGGCTGGAATTCAGTGACACTGGAGTATGGGAGGAGAGTAGCCACACATTTTCTTCTGACCTTCTTTATGTCTTGGCAGGACTACTGTAATTCTTAACCTGTTGTTCCCTCAGCCTACTGGTTGTGGCACGTGCTTTGCACCAAGGCATATAAGAAAACCTCTATGATCGGAACTCCCATCCGTGTGCTTGTGCTTATTCCCATTCCTTACACTGGGCCAACCACTTAGCTGATGGTTGGCTACTTACAGTCTTGTGCGCTGTTATGCCTGTGTCTGCTCTATAGACAAACATGGGTAACAGAGAAGGTGGCATATTTGTTTGCATCAGTGTCTTTTTTTCCTTTTCCTTTCCATTCCATTCTTTTTTTTTTTTTTTTAAAGGGATTTTTTTATGACAGGGCTTTGTGATGCTGCTAACTGTATTAATGTTGCATGCACATGCTATGGCTTTTAGTTACTCTACTGAGAAGCCAGAGAGAAAACTGGTAGGTGAATGAGCCATATGACTTATTAAGTCACTGGGAGACAGTGGAAAGGGATTTCAGTTCTCACTCTTCCCTGGGTGTAAGTGCATCAGTGACAGCTAGCTAGTAGATGCTAAGGCAAGAAAAGCATTGAAGAGGAGAATGAGATCCTTCAGGGGCAAGAAACTGTAGCCATTGGTTCAAGAAGCTTTGTACAAAAAGCAGTGAAATACATGCATACACAGAGATGTACTTGGTAGTGGCAGATGTGCACTTGACCTTCAGCTGTCTTCTACTATATGACTGTGGGGAAGTTGCTACATCTTTGTTTTTTACTTTTTCTTACCTCTTGCCTCATCCTTGTGGTTAGAAATTCCTGTAGCAAAAAGGCTCTTGCTAACTTTTGTCTCAGTGCATTGAAACCATAGCTTAATAGCATAAAATGTTGCTGTCAGGTGAGCCTTGGTTGGTGTGTTTCATCTGAATCACTTACCATGATGCTTTTTCCTTCTGTCCTTCGCACCCTAAAGGATTTTGCGGACACAATCCCTGGGCACGGTGGCATAATGGATCGCTTTGATTGTCAGTACTTGATGGCTACTTTTGTTCATGTCTATATCACCAGTTTCATAAGGTATGGGTTTTTTGAAATTCAAGCTACATAAGAGTAGGAGCTGTTCCACAGTGTTTTGGTCTGAGCCATACATTAGTACAGGGGAGGTTGTTACTATATTTGTTGTATGCAATGACTTCAAATGTAGAGTCATGAAGAGTGCATAGATTGCATAAGATTTGTGCAGCATTAAAGCTATACCCAGGTGTCATGGTTTTGGTATAGCTGATTTGTAGAGTTAGAGCATTAACACTTTAATTCCGTGACAGATTTTTGGTGGAGAATGCGGGCATAGCTGCCTTTTGCTTTTTGGTTTTTGCTTTTTGGCTCTTAGAACGAATCTCGCTCTCTGCTCTTAGAGAGCAGCTTCGTTAGGGAGCATTATCAGTAGTTCAGGTTTTTGTGCTGGAAAACTTGACCTTGAAAGACCAGGCGTACTGCCCGCATTCTCCACCAAAAATCTGTCACGGAATTAACTAGATCAGTCAATGCCCGTGACAGGGGGCAGTAGGCCCCTGCCTTCCCCACCCCCCGCCTGGACCCACAAAATGGGAAGGTAGGGGGAAAAGGAAAAAAACAGCGGCAACAAACTATGGAGGTAAACTTATTTTACTAACTATGATATCGGAATGCAAAATAATACAATATAATACAATCTAATTGGAATTGAGACTAATAAATCAAACAAGATATGAGAGAGAGTTCCCGAGACCGAGTCAAACCTGAAAAAGCTTGGAACGGCTAGGAAAGCACCCTCCAGCACCCACTGCCAGGCAGTAAGAGACCGTCCCCCCGGAAGGGTCAGATCCCGTGACTTCCGTAATGTATAGGGATAGGTATGTAGAGTTAGAGCATTAACACTTTAATTCCAGTACATGATGTTTTGATGTGGAATATTGAAAATCAAATAAAAAAAAAACCAAAACCATGACACCAGGGTATCAGTGGTAACCCACGTAACCTCAAATATGAATTTTAATGCTGCAGCCTCATAGAAGGCTTTACAAAGAGCCTGCATGTTGTGATGGCAGTTCTTCCCATGAGTTTAAGTATTCTCAGTGGCAGGACTTGAGGCTTTCTGTTGGAGAATAAAACACTACCATTAAAGAGAGTAGAGGACTTCTTAAAAATGCTGCTTGTAATCTCACACCAGCTTTTGAGGTGAAATCATGGGAATGAAAATGCTATTGCAATCAGTCATTTTAGTTCCAGGGGTGGAGGGAATCGAGGTAAGGAACTTGAGATGGCCGAACTGATAAATGCTCTTTGTTTTATAAATGCATTTGAGTAAATAACAATGAGAAAATGAAGAAGTTACAGATTTTTTTCTTCATATTGAGTTAATTGTAGAACTACAAGTGACTGACTAGTTTCCTGTTATTTAGGGATGCACAGTTTAATTTAAGAATTTATTTATTTATTTATTTTACTCTGACAGCTTTCCATTTAGTTGGTATTTAAACAGCTTATCCGGCAACAGGTATTAAAATGAAAAAGATCTTTTGATGAAGAATGTGATTATGATAATTATGAATGAATCTGTGAATCTTCTTTGTTATAACCTTTCTTGATAACCCCATTTGATAGTAAATACAAGCATCGTTTTTTTCTTCCTGTTTACATTTAGCAAATGAGAGTGCTTGCCCAGTGGTGCTTGCCCATGCACCCTGTGGCAATGGTTAGACTGGGAGAAGCCCATACTTTGGTGTTGCCAGAAAAAAGGAAGGCACTGTTTGTGCAGCAGAGCAGGGTGAGAATGGAAGGCTGTCCGAAAGCTTCGTTAGTGCTGCTGTTCATCAAAAAAACTTATTTCATTGACAGGGGCCCAAATCCCAGCAAAGTACTGAAGCAGCTGTTGGTCCTTCAGCCCGAGCAACAACTCAATGTGTACAGAACCCTGAAATCTCACCTTGTCGAAAAAGGGATCCTGCGGCCATCTTTGCGAGGATAGTTTGTCAAAACAGAGGAATGGTGAGAAAAAGACATACAGACGTTGTTGTCTGTGGAAAAGCACTGTAAGTGTGCACAAAGGTAATGGCTGAGGGAAGACTACATCATGATCTGGAAGAGATGAATGTTTCTTTCCTTAAAGGAATGAGAGTGCTGTGACTTTCCAATAGGATACAGGAGAACAGTTATTCCTAAAATAATTAAAATGCTTACAGAGTAACAGTACCCGTGCTATGTATTTTATTTCCCGCAGTGAATGGTAGCAGGCTGCCTTCAGCACTCAGCCTGACAACGTTTGTATTTCAAGAAGTCCTTTTTAAGATGTCCTGGATTAGAACAGTAAGACTGAACTCCCCATGAGCTATACGTCCAGCAAACTTTAGTGAAATTTCTCAATTCACTGGTGGCTTTTAATGAGTTCTCCATTACTGTATGTCATAGCAATAGTTTTTTGGTGTAAAGTGGTTACTGTAGTAAAAATACAGAAGAGGAAGGCAGTTGCTCGTTTAACCAGCTGGGCGTTGAAGACAGAGTTGGCCAGAAAATCCATGTTTGCCTGGTCACAGCAGTGCTGATGGACTGCTCTGTCAGACCTCCTATATTTACTGAGTCACTGTGAAGGTGAAACTTTGCTGTGCTTTTAACTAATCAGCTTTCTTGTGAAACTACTTCATCCTTTCGAGAGGGAGATATCTGTACTGGAGCATACTGAGCTGATTGGGCTGTGGAGCTGCTGTTTTTTAAAATTAATGTTATGGACTGTAAAGAAGCACATACGTCTGGGAGCAGTAATTGCCTGAAGGTGGGATTCTCCAACCCTGTAACCAGATTGGAAAGAATTTGGAGCTTAAGATCTTGGTTTCCACAGGATGATCAGTGTCTGAAGACATTATGTCAAGCCTTATTCCTTGTGCCTATTTACTACTGTGTAAAAGGGGATTTTTTTCTCCCTTTTAAAAGCACTTTGAGGTCATGTTTTATTCGTGTCTTACTGAGTGAAGGCAGAAACTTTTATCTCATGAATGTGCGTGATGCAAGATGGTGCATGGCTCTGCTGTTGCATGGTACTGTTTACTAAGAGGATCTTCAAGCAAGCCTGGGCAACAACATAGGATTCAAATGAATTTCTGAAGGAAGCAGCTACAGTGTAGGATTAGTGGGATACACGAGACAAGCTGATGCTCTGCGTTTCTCAGTCCTGGCCGCTTTCTAACTTCTTAATGCAAATTAAAAGAAAAACTTTTAAGAAATGATAAAAATGGTTCGTTTACAGACAGAAAGCACAAATGCCAATTCTAACTAAATTCAGTATGGTTTTTCGAACCAATTGTGAGTAAGTTTCTCCTGCAGTGAACATAACTGACACACACGTGTGTGTATATGTATGTATGTATATATGTGTGTATATATATAGCATAGATATATATGTATATATACTAATATATATATATATATAGTATACACACACACACAATATATATATAAAAGTTTTAAAAGGGTGCTACCTGAGAACAAAACCATGGCAAAGACTCTAGGGCGGATGATGGGCTCTGTCCATAACATCGAGGCTGGTTCTTTTGGATACAGTGCAGCTCTTTCTGCTTTGTTTTGCATTTGGGCCACGACACCTTGTGCACTGTGAGACTGAAGAAGCATTGCTATGTGTGGCTCTGAGATGGAAATCTGGCCCTCAAGTAATCCCTGTTGATGTCAGGTAGCTGGAAGAAAATCAGGTAGCTGGAAGAATTAAATTCTTTGTATTACTCCCTACAGTTTGGAGGCTGCAGGACTATGTGGCATAGCTGGAGGTTGGAAGGTGGCATGGCCAGAGAACGTATGACTTAGAGAAAGGAGTTTGAGAGAGAAGGAAAGGGAAATAGGAGTGTGTGCATCAGGGAAGATGACCCCAGTAGCATACCTCAGAAATGTCAGTGAGGCTTTGGTTGTGTACAGGGCTTTTGGGTTTGCTTATGGAAAAACACAGCTTTCCTGGAGCCAATGTATCTTCATCCTGTGTTTAAAAATTAAAAAATATATATACAGAATACACATGGAAAGGTAATTGTTGCTTCTGAAACTTGAACTTTCTAGTGTAGTTTTATAGCATGTATAATAAGGAAGTTAAGCTTATTTTAGCACTTAATACAACAGAGCATTTGAAATCTGTTGTCATCTGTTTGCACAGTAGAAGTTATGACACTGCAATTCTGCTGTTCAAAGTTAAAATGAAGAAGGGATCACTTCTGAACTCATTAATCGCTCTTTCTAGAAAGAATAATGGCATTCTGCTGGCTTAGGCTTTGTAAATACAGCTTGGCAGGGCCTGTCACTGTCAAGTGACAATGACGTTTGCTCACTATGAAATGCATTTATCCCAGTTGTCACTTCAGCTCGTTCAAGCACTACAATGTGATCAACAGGACAGGGTAACTTTTGCACCAGTGATTCTTTTCACTTGCACTTTTGTTAAAAGTTGCTGCAATTACTTATTGAGCAAAAAAAAAAAGTTATCTGTAAATACTGTAAATGTTTTGAGCATATAATGTCTGTTATAGTTCAATCTTTCATTGAGGCAGGCATTGTAAAAATAAAAATGGGATGTAAATCCTCTTCTGTTTTATGTTTATCTTCATTTTATTATGACCAATGCATGAACATTGCTTAATGAAAGTATATTCTTCTTCCTTGAAGTTGTGTTCTCAAGAGAGACAGCAGCAATTAATTTCCCATCTTTTTACCTACAAGTCTCCAGACCATTCAAGATTGTAACCGCAGGCTCACAGTGATGGCTGAGCTGCTCAGCACAGGATTTGGAATACCCTGAGTTGGAAGGGACCATGAGGATTGCTTGTCCAACTCCTGGAACAGAGGAATTGAATTTGCATCTCCTGCCTGAGGCACTGTGTATGTTCTACCAAAGAACTTGCAGTGTGTTCTGCACCTCTGGTACAAAGACCGTGTTGCTGGATGGGCACTCAAGGTTGTCCTGTGCTAAGGCTGAGAGAACTGCTTGCAGGGATAGTGGCATAGCAGTAAAGCAGCCAGACAGCACAAGTTGTCCTTTTTTTTTTTTTTTTTTGTGCAGCTCTGTCAAGAGGAGTTAGTTGTTTGGTTATTTGTTTTTATTTTGACATCAGTTGCCCTACATAGCAATAAGCCTTACTAAGTGGAGTATCTTTGTCCAGTTGCACTAGAACGTGTGCAAAGCTAAGGTACAACTGTCCTTTCTCTTGCAAATAGCTTCTCAGTTATAAAACGGACATTCACACGTGTGTTGTGCCCATTTCAAACTGTACAAACTCAGATGCAGCCCTGTGTGGGATGGGATCGCAGAAGCAGGCTGTGATGTTGGTGACACCTACGGACTCGTACTGCTGAAAACTACAGAATTGCAGCATGTTACCCAGATTGCACTGTGTGTGCTGAACACCAGTGCTGGCTGTGGAAATTTTAGCAAAACATCTTGATCTCTAAAGCAACAGGTGAGAAGGACTCCTATTATCAGAACAGAAGAATTTAGGACTTTGACAAGCACCAACACACCCCTTGCAAGGATGGATGACAAGGCAACATATTCTCACTGGGAGGTAAAGCTATAAAACTACTGTTAGGACTCTGCTCTTTGATCACAGGAAATTAAACACTTGGGCTATCTGGCAAGAGTTGTGCACACCTTCAAAGAAAACACAGTGAGAGGTCCAATTGTTCAATCATGGCTGTTACTGATTCCCTACCTGTGGCCAGTCTCTAGGGGTTGTGTGCACTTGAAGGGTGTGTGTAACACTGTGCACTTTCACCTTGTTTCTACTGTAACAAACTCTCTTGCCCAGCAAATATAGAATAGCCTGAGGCGGAAGGGAACCATAAGGATCTTTAAGTCTAAAATGGATGAGAGCACAGCATCCTGATAAGCAATGGCTGTCATACTGTGCTGTCCAGCCTCACAGAAACATGTTTCAGGGCCACATGTCATAAAGTTAGAAGGAATTTCTCTAAAAAAACCACTTCATTGTGCTTCCTAGTGTATATTCAACATCCTCCCTTCAGAAGCAGTGTGTTATCACCTTGCTGCTGGTTCAGCTGGTGCTGTTACTTTCATTCCCAGAGCTCATACAGAATATTTGCAACATAGCAAAGTGAGGACAAGACAGATTTCTATTTTAATGTTCGATGTCTTGAACCCAGATGCCTGAGCATGAGTAGATGGAAAAAAAGCCCAAATCCATGGATTGGGGTATGTGCTTTTGTGTCACTGAGTCTTCTCCCCTCCTGTGAAAGACTGCGTACAGTTTTTCCCTAACCTCTTGTTTTCTTTTTTTATTTTTTTCCCCACGCAGGAACACCTGGCAGCTGATGCACAGCAATCACACTCAGGAAATCAGAGCAGATAAAAAGGGTCTGTGCAGGGTTACCTCCCTCAGCAGCTCTGCAGGCAGTGGGGCCTGTCATACTCAGCCCAGGAGCTTTGCAGGGCACAGCATCTCCTCTGAGCTGTTCCAGAAGTGTTGCTCCTGCAGGGTGTGCTCTGCTCCCAGGAAGAAGCAACTTCACAGTGCGGATGTAGTAATAGGCAGAGAGGAGCTTTTGCATGGAAAAAGTGCCCCTCCTCAGTGGGCTCTTAGTTTCATCAAGGAAAGTCCCTTCCTTGCAGAAGTGCTGAAAGCTGAATGTCCAGATGTCTTCAGGGACCTTGGGATCACCTCGCCATCAGGTATTTTTGGAGATAGAGAGGAGAACTGGGTGCCTGGGGAAGCAGGGTTGGCTATGGCAACTGCAGAAAGATGCTTTCAATTGAGAGGTGCCTGTATTTGTGAACTCCTTCTTTGAGGACAGAACACAGTGGTATCTGTTGCTCTGATTTGCAGTGGTACCCCTGCTGATACAAGAGGAAGCTCACAGTCAATCCATAAGCCATGGCTTTCCCCTCCAAAGGTGCAGCTCTCGGTCTTGCTGGTAACCTTAGACCATCCTCCTCCACCTTTCTGCTTACCTGAGCGAAAGCAATTTGGAAGGTGCTTTAAGGATATGACTTTCCTAACTTGCAGCAGGGGGTTGTTCACTCAAGCTTTCACATGAGCTGGAATCGGTTTAACCAAAAGTACTGTGTAGCTCTCCAAGCCTCTGATGCATCTTGATGGCTCTTCAGAGGGCTTCTTTTTCTCTAATAGCTGATGGTTGTACAGCTCTTCCTAAGGGTGACCAACCCTCCTCTCTTTCAGAGATGCATCTCTGAAGCAGTTCTGAGTAAGCTCAATTTGGCAACAAACAACAGCTGGGAGGCAGCTCAGGGAAGAGGAGGGAGGCAGAGGAAACTTTCCTTCAGCCTGTATGCATTCTGACCTCTTCTAAAGCCAAATGTACCCTAAAAGGCAGATAGTAAATGTGACCTTCCCCTGCTCTGCTGTAAACTAATAAATGATTGTCATTATGCAGCTGGTGCAACTTGAAGTTACCAAAGTAACTCCTTACAAATACTTCCTGTTCCAATACAAACAGAACTCTTTAAGAGAAGCTGGGAATCTGAAGTAGGAGCTCTCAAGCCCAAGGATGGAGCTGACTGGGATGTGTGCCTCTGTTACTCTCACACCAGTTCTAGTCTCATAGATCATGGTAGATACCTCTGCCTCTGCTGAAGTGGCACAGGCAGTGTTGTGTTGTTAGTGCTGGTATGTTTGACTCCACTTTACACTGGAGACAGTGCCCTCCTTTGGCTAGGAATGAACGTGTTATTGGGCTTTTATGTTCTTTTAAATAACTGGTGTATGTCTAATCACCTGATTAGGATGAACGTAATGGCACCCCCTCGTGGCTTTCAAGATAGACAAAAAAAGAGCGTGTAGTACTGTGCTGCCTGTCGGCGTTGTTGTGCAGAGACTAAGTACAGCCGCCCAACAGAACTGCCATTAATGCTGATAGAATTGCCTTCAGCAGCTGGATTGAAAGCTGTAAATCTTGGTGATAAAGCTGCAAATGCTTTTGTATTGGCAGTCTATAGAAGCTCTCATGACACAAAATAGCAGAGCATTTGTCAACCTCAGATGAGGTACCCTTGTGTACCGCATGGTTACTATAGAAAAGGGGCACGTCTTTAACACAGGCATGATGTTGTTAACAATGGCACAATGGTACTGGCTTGGTTTTGGAGCTGGAGCACCCGTGTACTCTTGGCATGTGGAAAAAGTCTGAGCTGTCTGATAATTTGAATGCTCCTTAACTACAAACTTTGAAAACTTGCCTGTAACAGAGATTAAACTCAGAATAATTTTACCCATTCTTTACTTCCTCTGTCCTCTCCAGATCTGAAAGGCTCGCTTACAAGCTAACAAAAGAAATATTGGCCTCGAAAAGCAAGGGTTTTCTTTACTTGCCTCACTGATGCATTGTCTGTCTGTAACCATGCTGTAGCCAGAAGTTATTTCCCATTTGTACACTTATTCCTGTGTCTGAAAACTTCCCCAGGCAGGAGATTATGCTCTGCTGTGGTTTAATGCCCTGGTATGGCTGCTTGCTGCAGACCTACTCTGCTCAGGTTTCCACTGAGACACTGAAGAAAACAAACTGCCCCCTCTTGCTGATGTCACACAGTGTTTGAGGACTTGAGGTTACTGAGCATGTGAATGTAACAAATGAGGGGACAGCTGCAGTGATTTGTTTTTTTCTTCCTTTTTCAGAAAAAAGGTGCCTGGAGTGTGAGAGCACCTAAGGCCTTCCTGGAGAATGCTTTAAAGAGTGGAAGCACCATAATTGAGTGATATTTCAACCATCTGCGCCTTCCACACTGACACAAGGGCAGGCCAGTTCCATGTGAGTGCAGTGATAGGTTATCCTTGCTGGAAGCTGCAAAAAGTTTTTAATTTTCTTCTTCTTGTTCTTTGCTGTCAGACAGTGATCTTCACATCAGTACACCGAAGGAAATAATTTAAACATAATTAACTTGAGCTAACGCTGAAACTCCTGGGAGCAGCGTGGTGTTAACTGTTCAGAGATTTTTAACTTGCTTTTTATCAGGGATATGATAACACTGTTTGAATTAAGACTTCTTAATTAAATGCGACCTGGGTAGCGCTGTATTCTTAATTAAACATGACCTAGGTGACTGTACAGTTATTAACACCATGTTCACTTGCACTGTGGTTCTGATATACTCTTAGAGATGGGACTCTTTCACTGGAGGCCAACACAGCAACTTATATTTAAACGCTGTGCAACTTTTCTGTTGTTTGAACTTGTTTATTTTTTTAATGCATTATAAATCAAACATATCAATAGTGACTTTTGTTCTGGATCTAATAACTAGTAGAAGTTTTTATTCTTAAGTACTTTTTTTCAGACATATTGTAAAGATCACACTTTTTTTGCATTCAATTTAAAGACCAATGCCAATGGAAAAATCCCTGCAGTGAGACTTCTGAGAGACAAGGTAGAGACGTGTGCTTGCCAGACCTTTGCAGAAACCTCTTTAGAAAACACTGCTTTTCCTCCTGTAACACCTATAGAAGGAAGAATTTAGTCCCAGGAAGGAAAGGAGCAAATCTGGGCCACACACCTGGCATTTCTCTGCTATGCTGGTCAAGATTCAGCCTGGACTTTGAAGCAACTCCATGGTGGGATATAAGGTCCACGGAGTCTGTTGGCAGAAAAATGCCAGACTATTAGGTGTTGAACCAACCAACGCCTTCTGAGGAAGCCACCTAATGCTCTGTCCAAGAGATCAGTGTGCTGCACCTCGAGTACTGTGTCCAATTTTGGACCCCTCACTGCAAGAAAAACATTGAGGCCCTGTAGTGGGTTCAAAGAAGGGCGACAAAGCTGGTGAAGGGTCTGGGGCACAGGCCTTATGAGGAGTGACTGAAGGAGCTGGGATTGTTCAGTCTGGAGAAGAGGAGGCTCAGGGGAGACCTTACTGCTCTCTATAACTACCTGAAGGGAGGCTGTAGTGAGCTGGGGGTCAGCCTCTTCTCTCGTGTAACTAGTGATAGGACTAGAGGGAATGGCTTCAAGCTGCGCCAGGGGAGATTTAGGCTGGATATTAGGAAATACTACTTCTCTGAAAGAGTGGTCAGGCACTGGAATGGCTGCTCAGGGAGGTGGTGGAGTCACCGGCCCTGGAAGTGTTCAAGGAACGTTTGGATTTTGTGTTGAGGGACATGGTTTAGTGAGAACTATTGGTGATAGGTGGATGGTTGGACTGGATGATCTTGTAGGTCTTTTCCAACCTTGGTGCTTCTGTGATTCTGTGGTTCATTTACAGACCAAAAAAGGAAACGTGAGGGACAGATGATATGTTGCCAGAATTAGCCGTTGCCACACCAAGTATGCATCAGTCACAGGACTTGCTTCAGTTCAACAACCTGAAATGCAAGTTCCCTATTCCAGGCTTGCGTGCTTTTAATGATAGTGTGTTAATGTCTCCTTCAGCTTTGGGCATGACCTTTCTGAGCTGGCTGCTTCTGTTTCTCACCTGTTCATTGAGCCCCAAACCAGCTGTTTGTGAATTTTAGGAGGGGGTGCAAGGGATAGAGCAGATGGAAGATTTTCTGTATTGATATGACCCGGAATGAATGCAGTTGAGCAAACTGGCCAACTGAGATCTGCACTATTTTGTACTGCTCACGTTTACCAGTTGTTGTGCCTGGTTCAAGGAACAAGCCTACAACCCTGCCATGATGAAGCTGGCCAGCCTACTTTAACCTAATCAGACACGCCCATCTAGACAAGCACTCCCTCTCCAAAAACCTCATGCTCCTCTCTGCACCAAGTCCTCACTGCAATCCTTCCCTGTGCAATCTACCTCAACAAATCCCCTTTGCTGCCTTTGAAGTGCAATATTTCTTGCTCCAAATCAGTTCTTCTGTGTGAAAGATCCCCAGACTGGAGTGGTAAGGCAGCAGCAGGACAACCCCCAGCCTATGTCACCTGCTGCAGATTGCCCCCCAGGTGTGGTGCATTAGATCCTGCTGTTGCCATGCATTTGGGCAGGCTGCTCTGAAAACACCTGGGGGTTACCAGCTGAGGTCAAAGAGGTGAAATGGGCTGCGGGAAGGCAGTTCTGACAGTAAGTTAAAGCCTAAGTGGGTTGGGTATTTACCCATCAGGATGATGAGGAGAGGGTGCTGAGGTGCTGCCGGGGCTGAATGGGGAGTTTAGGTGTGCAGAGGGCCGTGTTGGCACCATCCTGAAAACTATGAGAAAGCCCTGCTCTGAGGCTGCTTTACAAATGGCTGCTGGTGGCCATAGCCATCTGGGAACCAATTGAAAATTGCAGATGGTGGAAATATGGCATGTGAGAACACTGTCAATTGCTCAGTCAACCTTTAGGAACAAAGATACTACACTTCTACAGTTAGAGATCCTCCTTGGGTGTCTTGGGAAGGAGTTTGTTATCAGTGCACACCAGAGCTAAGCTCTTTAAAAAAATATCACTGCTATTTCTGGATGGGGAGGTTGAGTCATCTTCCATTGTTAGGGAAATTTGGTCACAGGTTTGTGCACCAGAGAAAAGGGAGTGGCATGGTATTGGCAGGTCACATAGTCCAGTTCTGTACATCAGGTACAACGATACCATAAAGTATGATTTTGACACAGGATTCTCACCTTGAATTTATATTTTGTTTTACTACTGGAAAATGAGCCATGACTGTTAATTAAGGACTGTTTCTAGTTTAGAGTTGCACTGTTTATAAATGTTCAGATCCTCCACGTTTAATCTAGTATTGCCATTCTACCACAGGTTTGGTCCTTACTATGAGTTATGATGTTCATGATGTGCTGCTATGTTTTAGCCCTGGTGTTAGTTTAAATGTCTTTCGGTTTTCCTTTGTGCTGGTTCTTTTAACAGAACCTGGAGCAAGGGACATCCTTATGAGAATCTTATACTTCAACCTGTAATCAGGTATATTTGAGAAGGAGCTGTGATGCCCAGGTAACAAGCCAAGAGCTGCTGCTTTCCTCCAGCAAATGGAGATGGTCATTGTTACATATTTGAAGTAGCATTCATGTACAGATGCAGTGTTGTTGACAGATAATTATCAGTCAGCATAAATGAATAAGAAGTTAATTGGTACAAGGAGAGCACAGTGCAAATTGTTATTAAATTTGTTCCCTAGCTTTGCAATGGAGGTTGTGTGGGTATGCTGAGTGACAATTGTAGGCTGCTAGCTACGTTGCTCTGGAAAGTGATTTGGGGTCACAGTGAAATCACGCTGAATTGTTGAAGTTGGGCCCAGAAGATAACACACACAGCCATTCAAAAAGCACCAAGAAACTTCTGGTTACAGGTGGCACGAATGGTGTTTTGTTATGCTTGAGACAGTGCAAACATACTCTGGCTGTAACTTACGTCTATGACAATTTCACATTTCTAGACACTCATTGGATGCTGTCCATACTTTAACTTTTATTTTTCCACTTTTCTTAATATGCAAATTCCTTAAGAGTATTCCAGGAAAGATGTGGATGCTGTGCCTTTGATATACCTTCTGACAAGCCTTGGATGCTTCCCCCTTGCCTCTCACATGGATTCCTCACAGTCACCTAGCAATTTACAGTATAAAACTATCACCATCTACTTCTCCGATAGCCAAAGGCCTAGATAATATGAATACTTTGGCCTATTCACCCAAAGTGCTCTCTTTTTTTTTCCTACTTGGAGACTGCGGGTTTGTAGAAAATAATTTTCTATTTGAAAGGAAGTGCTCCTTCAATAGTGCAACTTGAAGGGAGATTGACAACATAGCTTGCGGTTAACAAGGTTGCCACAGGCACTGACAAGATTTGTCATTGTTTCTGAAAACTATCCTTATATGACATGGCTAATAATATTAGAAAAGCTTCAAGTTATGTCATTTGTTCATGGGCAGGGGACTGTCAAAGAAATTACAACTTCTCCACAGGAAGCCATGCATGCGTCTAAAAGCTCCAGACTTGCACGGTGTATCCACAAGCAATTCTGGTGATGTCGAAGAGGAAGCAACTCCAAGTTCTTACAGTACAACATAAGTAATAGAAGGATTGAGTTCCACAATAACTTAGTTTTATAAGATCAAATGTATATAGCACGACAATAAACTAAGGCTAGGAATTAAGTGGAAGAAGGATCTTAGCATGTAAACCACATGCTTTTGGAACAGCTTTTAGTAGTGACCTAACCTTCTCATAATTCTTCAAGTTACTCTTTAAAAAAATATATATATTTATGAAGAATTTAAATAATTAAGCTGCCCCAAATGGTAGACAGGGGTGTGTACATGCCTGGCCAGTGGTTTTCAGTCATGGTCTGCAGTTATGCATAACAAAATCTGTGATGGCAAAATATCTGTTTGCTTGTACCTATAGCTCCCGCAAAGAGAAGGTGAGTTAGGTCACTGAGTTGTGTGCTGATTGATCAGGTGTGATAGATGTAGTGGGAGAGTACATATTATGGCAGGTGTTGTAAGAAAGGCCCTTTAGTTATAGCTTCAGAAACACCCTTTCTTAGGTCGTAAACATGTTCCTTTTCCTGAATGCTATGCAGAAGTGCACAAGAAATGGTTTGGAAGAGTTTGGTGTGCTATAGGTTACTCCGTGAACTTGAAGGCATTCCAGGAGTAGAGCATCTTCCTGAGAAATAGAGGGCGATGTGGGAGCTTTTTTGGGAGGAGTGTGTGACAGGCCTGAGGTTTTGTAACTGCTGTGTTCCAAAAATGGTGCTTTTTATAAATAAATAACATACCCTGTTTCACATGGTTTTTTTTCCAGTGGGAACCTGCCCTGCCGTCCTTGGGATTTTCCTATCTCTACTCAAGGGAGAAACAAATGTAAGTTCACAGAAAGAGCATCTTTATTTCTGCTATGTCTAGAATTGAGAAGTATATATATATTTTTTTAATTATTTGATCAGTTACTTCAGTCTCCCTAAGCAGCCGTCATGGCTTTCTGTGAAAGCCTGTGAAAATAAAAATATCGCAGACAAAAATAACATTCCCTCGTTCTAAGTGTGGAGTGTCTCAGTGCATATTTGGCACATCCTCTGAGGCTGTATCAACAAGAAGCAGAAACAAGCTGCTGTAAAGAGCGAATCATACAGAGAAATAGCACTTGGTATCTTGTTCTGTATCTGCCAGGACTTCTGACATGAACCATAGAATTGTTAAGGTTGGAAGAGATCACTAAGATCATCTAGCCCAACCACCAGCCCATCCCCACCATGAACCACAAACTATGTCCCTTAGTGCTGCACCTGCTATTTTCTGAGATATATTCCAAGGGCTCAGAAGTTACAACAGTTTCTCTTCTGAGCAGACTGCCACACAGCACACCTTTCAGGCTGTGTGCTTTGGTATATGGTGTATGGCTTCACAAGAGCCTTCTGTAAGCTGTGCGGAGCAGTGACACCTTTAGCCAACACAAAGGCAGCCTGAACTCTGGGACGGAACCAGCAGCATTTAGATGGCTGCAAGTGATGCACACCACCACGACAAACATTTCCTTCCCTGAGGCACCAGATGGCAGCATTTTTCCTCTCTCAAAGCGTGATCTCCTCCTCAGATTCACTTTCTGGGACCACCGTGTAGGGCTGTGTGGCTGTGGAGGCCACAAAGGCTTCAGCTGAACTGGACCTTCTCTGTCATCGCCTGCTTTGTGGGAACCCTTCAGTCACACAGCCCTAATCCCTACTTTTTCCCCTCACTCTCATGTCCTTGCTCATAAATGCAGTGCTGCTTTACCATTGCTTTTTTGTTACAGAAAAAAAAAACCAAATCATCCATGTCAGCTGCAGCAAGCTCTGTTCCCAAGTCACTCACCTTTGGCCTGCCGCAATATGGGACAAATGTGTTTGCACGAGTTGTACAACTTACAGCAGAAGAAAGGAATGGGTGATGGGTTGGCCCCGGGGGCTGAGGAGAAGCAGCTCTGCTTTCCTTTTTTTTTTTTTTTTGTCTGTATTACTCTGTGGGGCTGTGGTTAGTTTTCTGTCACTGCTTTACAGATGCTATGAGCTCACCAGTGGACAATTTGTGGGTTCTTAAACTTCTGATGAGCAGCCAGAAGTTGTTTTTCTGAAGAACATGTGACAAAGGATTTTCTAATTTTTCAGCTTTCAGCCAAGCTCAGTGGGCGTGCCATAGGACAGGGAAGTGGTGGTGGATCCTTCTCTACTCCACCCTTCTTACTTAATACCAAAAAAATATCTATAAACAGGCAAGAGGGAGGGAAGAGCATTCCTCAAAGTGAGCCATAAGAATCCTGTACAGTGATAATGCTAAACTGAGATTTTTGGAAAACGGTGCTGGTTTTTTTTGGTTAAAAAATATTCTAATAAAAAAAAAAAACAAAACCCTCATTGTTTTTTCACTTTCTCATGCCAATTTTTTTCCAGTTTTGGATTTGTCTGCCCATTGGTTTCAGCTAATTCATACAAACAAGACGGACTCAGCTTTACTGCCCAAGATAGGCAAAATATGCACAATAGAAATATACTGGAAATTCACCCAAAAGCTGAGTACAATTTCATCACTTCAAGTCAGTTGTACAGCTATCATCTTCCTTTTAAATAAAGAAGAAAAATATTTTTAAATATATCTCCACGACTTATAATGATCAATGCGATTCCTTATGTGTACTTGCTGTGGGGGAAAAAAAAAAAAAAAAAATTGTCTAATTATAGCTCTGTAGTTACTAACTAGCACCTTCTCTGAGAAACAGTTGCCTGTGTGCCTGTGATAAGCTTTGCAAGAAGAGAGATGCTGAGATGGTTTAAAAAAAAAAAAGAGAAAGCATCTGATATCTATCAGTATGGATTATTACAGCTTGCCATTATTTATTTTGGAACGGTGACAACTGACCAAAACATAGGGACTATGAATAGGAATGCAAGGAGTGATTAAATGCACAAAAGAGAGGAAAAAAAAATAAAGCAATATAATTTGGCACGCAGCAAATGTTAGATCTTGTGTACAGCTGTCTGTGCAATTCCCACTCTCTCTTGAAGGATTTCTGTGATTTCCCACTAAGGTATCTCTTCTGATAGAGACTTAGAAACAGCTCCATCTCTGTAAGCTTTGGTTCTTAGTACAGCTGGTAAGATAGATGTGTTAATCCTTTACATATGAAAGATGCAAGTATCCTCCTACACATACATTACAGAGAGAAGTTTTGTTTGTTTTATGATGGGTAACTGCTATGTACTGTTCGCTGTCTCTATCTTGCATAGTAAGTGAAGTTACTATTGAAACAAGCTGATTAAATCTGAGATCCCTCTTGCTGCAGTCCAGAATGAAAATATACTCAAGGGGAGACAAATTCTGCCTGGTAGTATGTAGAGCTTTTTGACTTCTCAACTGCCATGGCATACTGATGAAGGAGAAGGTACTCTTAAAAAATATAAAAAAATCTGGTTTGCAGGGAAACATGCATATACAATTTCTATGGAATGAGGTGTGTGAGATGTAGTTCTTGGTGGTTTTGTAGCGCCAACAGCCACTCTACCAACTTTCATCTTGGCTTTCCCTCAATGGGGGAGAATTGGTTCAGCCTTGTACAGACATAGGGATGCTTTTCCTTGTGTGTATCCATTATTCCATGATGTATACAATATATGGGGAGTGTTGTCAAAAGGAAGACGCTGCAAACAAATCCGTGGTGTCATATTCTGATCTTCCTCATTTTCTTTTCAGTAGCATTTCTCATATGGCCTCAGCCAAGCCTATTTCTCACAGAAAGCAGTGACTGTTATTGCTGTTTGCATACAACGTGGGATGAGGAGGCTGGGAAGAATGGTTGTGCAGAGAGAAACTGGTTGGGGAAGAGGTTAAAAAGCCCAAAAAGTGGGTGAAAGTAGGCAAAAAGTAGACAAGACATTATACATATGACGTAAAGTCTCTTTTTTTGCAGGTACAGAATGCTGGGTGTTTAAGAGCTGGTACTGATTGTACTACAGTTGTTGTACGAGGGCTGTAACTGGTATACCATGCATAATTTCTCTCGTGGTTCTTATTGTTCATTGGTTATCCTGCACAGAAACAATACAGGCACTGTAACGGACCCATGGGCTGCATTCCAACACAAGTCATTAGCTCAGGCTCCCCCCACATCAGGCTGCCCAGGGCCCCATCCAACCTAACCTTGAGCGCCTCCAAGGATGGATGGGACATCCACAGCTTCTCTGAGCAGCCTGTGCCAACACCTTACTGCCCTCAGGAGCTGAATTAGATTTGGGCTCATCTCAGACATCCACAAGTCCTAAACAGAAATCTCCTCTACATAAACAAGAATGGGGTGAAAAGTTGTGCAGCAGTGATTGCAAATCATAGATTCGTAGCATCAGTAAGGTTGGAACAGAGCTCTGAGATCGTCTAGTCCAGCTGCTGACCTATGATATTATTAAAATATTAGATAGACCTACATTTCTTATATTAATGTCCAGCATTGGAAGATGGGGTAAATGGCATGGACTCCCTTTGTCCTCAGGTGCCCAGCTTCGCTTAATAAGATGTGATACCAAAGGCAAGAGGCAATTTTATTGTGATCATTTGCCCATGAAACACACAGGCCCTTCGTGCTCTGCATGTTAGTTTTCGTTGCATTTACCCCTGCAGCCATTCTCCAAACTGCTCAGTTCCTTCAGTGAGGGCTTTGGAAAGAGATTCTGCAAATGAAAAAGCAAACTGCTGAAAGGCAAACTGTTCTTAACAGCTGATGTCTTGAAGGAAATGAGTTTGCACTTGATGGAAGAAGGCAGAAGGGCTAATGGACACAAGTATGGATGTACCTTTGTACCCTTCCCATGAGGTACGGCTGGGTGAAGGTTGCCCCATGGTGGCAGTGACCCTGTACTTGCTGTGTTTAGCTGATGTTTACATGGGTAATGCGTCTCGCTGGCACAAAGGAGTCCTTTAGCTGCAGGGAATGTATTAGGAAACCATCTCTGCATTCCAGCATCAGAACCGTGTGGATGACAGCACAAATAATGGAATCATTAAGGCTGGAAAAGACCTCTGAGATCACCAAATCCAACCCCAACCCATCCCCACCATGCCCGCTGACATCGCTCGGTGCCACATCCCCACGGTTTGCGAGCACCTCCAGGGGCAGTGACTGCACCACCAACCTGGGCAGCCTGTGCCAATGCCTCACCACTGTATCAAAGAAATGTTTCCGGATACGCGACCTGAACCTCCCCTGCCGCAGCTCGATGCCATTCCCTGATGTGCCGCCGTCCCTTTTGCGCACCACAGCAGGGACGCTCGGTGGGCTTCCACTCAGCAGCGGGAGAGCCTCAGGCCCCACGAGGATCCCTTCCGGCCGTCCCGTGCCGGCAGCGCTCCGTTCTCCTGGGCGCGGCGCGTTGAGCGGCGGTGGGTGCCTGGCGGGGGATCTTTGTCCGAGGGAAAGGAGGCACAGCAGAACCTTCCGCGGGACTCCGAGGGAAAGCCGAACTACTAAAACCCAACGTAACCGTAAATAATTTTTATTCATTTTTTTAAATAAACCACCACGGACGGAGCAGAGGCGAGCGCGCAGCCCCTGAGGGCTCGCTCCCTCCTCCCGCCATTCCCCACCCGCTCTCCTCAGGTGGCCGCGCCGGGCCGCGGGAGCCAGCCGGGAGGAGGAGGAGCGGAGGGAGGAGGCAGCCGGGCGGGGAGGGGGCACTCGGCGCCGCGGAGGAGGAGGAGGAGGACTAAGATGGCCACCAGCCGCCAAGGGGAGCGGCCCCGCTCCCCCCGCCCCGCCTCGCGCGGCCCCCCCGGTCCGGCCCGGCCTTGATGGGGCCGGAACGACCCCGCGGCCAGGACGCTGCAGCGGCGGCGGCGCCTCC